TGTATCCGAACATTAAAAATTGGGGAAATAAATGGAAAGATGCCCAACCAGAACTACTTATAAATATGCAACTCGAGGATCAACCAGAAGAAGTGAAAAAAAACGTTAGGAAACTCGTCCAGATGTTCCCCTGCATGCCAACGCCTGTAGTAACGCGATTGAAGCACGAATTGAAACATACGCCGGGCCCTTCTTTTTGCTCAGGGCCCAGATTCAAGCACTCAAAACAAAAGAGAAGAACAAGAAGCAGCACTCACCAACATCCCGGGAGGCCTGAATTCATCGTCCATCAAGTCCAGCCATCAGCACCCCGTTCATAACAGATAAATACACGTCAGAAGGTTAAGGTTCCCCATTCAGAGTCGGTCAAGGATCCACCCTCCTCCTTTTCTTGTCCGTTCTCTCTTCCATGATCGCCACAAGCTTGCGTTGATTAGGTCCGAGAGCCTCGGCAGTTGGCGCAATTGCCCGACGAATGAGAACAAGAGCAGGCGGAAAAGGAAGAGGAAGGGAGAAAGGAAGAGGAGGTAAAGGAAAGGGGACAAGAAGCTGCAGAAAGCTTCAACCCGCCCGTAGCTCAGTTGAGCTCTCATTTCAGCCTGCAGCGCTCGATCGGGTCCGTCCTGCGCACGTGATGCTCGCAAAGGACGAAGTTTTGTTTTGTTTTTTTCTGGATTGCTTGTTCAACAAGACTATCTTTTTTCTTTCGTTTCGTATCTTTTCTTTTTTTTTTTCTGTTTTGCTTTTGGTCGGGCTTTCTTCCTATTCATGTGACTAATGGTTTCTTGGGGAATGGGTCTTTTTTCTTGGGTCCGCGGACGAGTCAGGTCGGAACCAGAGGTCAAAAAGGGTCGCTGAGCTGGTTTGTGTCGGATTCATGCGATCGGGTCGTTAGCAAAAGCCGTGCTTGCATCTAGCTGTCCACCTGGCCCTTGAAGTAGGCCTTGGCCATCTCATACGAGGTCCTGTAGGATCGCGTCAGCAACTGTTTTCAATGCGCAGACATCGGCGGTAATTTTGCAATGGGTCCGTCAAAAGTTGCAAGGAAACTCACCAGCAAATAGCAGTGCTGGGCATGGTGGAAATAATACGGGGGCGAGCGCCACGCAGGAATCCCTTCCAGCCAAACTGCCGCTTGATAATGGCCGCAGCGTTGAAGAGACCCTTGGCCGACCGGATCTCCTCGTTCTGGGCCAGCCCTCGGGTCTGCAGCAGCGTCTTCACAACGTCAAGCGGGGTGGTGATACCGGCGGCGAATGCACCCGCCAGACCTCCCGCCATGCAGTGCGTGAACGGGTCGTAATCCTGCGACGGGTTCATGACCTTGGAGATGGACTCGTAGGCGACAAACTGAGTGGCGGTGAAAGGCACCGTCATGCAAAGCGTAGTGGGATAGGATACGTAGAACGCCTGGAGACCTTCCGTCTTGTAGACGGAGCGAGCGCACTGAAGGATACTCTTATGTACCGAGCCATGGACCTGCATGCGCTGCTTGATGACTACTTCAGTTAGCCGATACTCCGGAAACAAATTGAAACGGATGGAGCGCAAAGGGCGCAGTACTCACCATCGAAGGGGTTCATCAAGGCGTCGCTAGCAATGGTTGCGGACGCACCGCTCAGCGCTTGGCATCGTCAGCAATTGCACCAAAATCATCGCATCTCCAAGCAAAGCACCAAAACCTACCAGCTGCTACCGGATGGTGCCCATCGTCCACATTTCCACCGGCCATTTCCTTAACGACCTCGTATGTACCAAAGTAAACGGCATGAGCCGGACCTAGAAATTCACCAGATCAACCTCCGCCGCGATAGCACCCGCAACGGCGCGCCCAAAATTGTCGCACTCACCAGCACCAACGATAACACTCGAAACGCCCTTCCATAGCGTCCTCCAGCCTTCAATTCGGTAGATGGTCGAAACCGCATTGGTCAAGCCTGTGTAGAGCCCGCCGTTCGAGGGATGCAGGATTTGCATGCGTGTCTGTACAAACCCCACCATTAGCCCACCGCACCCGCGAAGTCCAACATAAGAGATGAAGCAATCAATCTCCAGCACCTCCAACCCATCTCAAACCTCCCCAACAGCAATCAACATACCTTCAACAAGTCTACCGGATACATAACAGAGTGTTCCTAGAACAACCAAGCACCCATTAGCACAACCACCGGAACCCAGTCACCAAATCCCACGGTCTTTCCACATACTGCTATTCCTGCAAAGGCGCCAGCCAGCATGTTCCGGCCTAGGCCGTAGTTCGAAGGGAGGGCTTCATAGCTAATATCAAATTGGAACGTTAGCTGCGAATTCCTATACGGAGAGCAAATCGTTCCCCAATATCGCTTCGGAAAATGCAATAAATCATGCAGCGCCAGTCAATCGCAGGAAGTATCTGCTGATGAGATAGGCCCTGCAGAAAGCCTTGCGCGAACAAGCGAAGGCGCCACGAATACGAAGGGGAAAATAACACGGTCGACATACTCGTATTCCTGCCCGGGAATCTGCTCGGGAGACGCCATGGAGCTTGATTGGTTGGTAGCACAGCTGCCGTCGTTAGAGAAAGAGGCGATTTTTTTTTATTCGGAAGAATCGGATCTCAGACAGCTCGGGGGGAATGGTCGAGCTGGAGGTGAGGTACTCGGTGGAGGATGGAAATGCCGACGCAGAAAAACGGACTTGCGGAGCGGAGAGGAAGCCGGACTCCGAGAGGAAGAATATCGGGCGGAAGGGGAGGGAGCAAGACGGAGGGGAGGCGAGGAGAGGAGAAGGTAGGATGAGCCCGATGCAAGACGGGGGGAAGTTATTCAATGCCTCAGAGGGAGAGAAGTAGGGAAAAGGTGAGAGGAGGAGGCAGAGGAAAGAGAGGACTGGCGAAAGATAGGAAATAATAATCTTTCTGGACAGTCGGGAATTTCTTGCTGCTGAAGGTTGAACTAAAGGAGCAAAGCAAGTCCCGGGTCATTAATACCGTTCGGAGGTGGTTTCAGCCTGTTTCACCGGGCCGAATCCCCGCGTAAGTGCAGCTGTTGCTGTGGTATTGAGGGTGTATCAGTCCGTATGCACGGCAGTCCCGCCCGGAGCAGAGTAATTTATTTGTCAGTTCAGCTTTCTCGATTCTTGTCCTAGTTTAACTAAATAACTAAACTACTCCCAAGTAAGTAGTAGATAGATAGTAGATAGTCAATAGGTAAATAGATCGAGGGAGAACTTTCACCAGTTCGTGCCCATCCGAAATTAATCAGAGATTGATATGATTGCTGGACCCCAACAGACAAAACACCCAGCCTTTCCTTCCTTCCTTCTCTTCCTTCCATCCTGATTCTTTGTGTTTTCTAGCCCGCTCTCCCCCAATTTATCCTGATCCAGTTTCCACCCATACATAGTCCAGTCCACTATGACTATCCTCCGCATGATAACTAAACATCATTACCATCTACCTGCTAAAACTAGATTTGTTCCTCGGAACTCCCAAAAATTTCCATCTTTTCTTTTTCCATCTGTCCTGCACACACTATCTACCTGCTGAATCAGCATCCCCGACCTAGACTGCCTTAGACACGACCTTACTAACGAACCTCCAAAGTGCCTAGGCAAAAACTACGACTGATCCGATGACGGAGCCCCAATCCCCATAAAACCAACCGACTGAATCAATAAGGAATTCTTTTCGCCCCGATCCCAGGCATCCATCCAGCATTAAAAAAAAATCTCAGTAAACTCGATTAATTCCTAAAAAAGCAATCCAATATAATAACCATTTCCCATCATTCCCATTACTTAATCTAATCACTTGAGAAAAGAAAAACTTTTCTTACTTTCCCCGGCACGAAGCGAACAGACTATTACTCCGTAGTAAAATGGAGACTACTAAAACTAAGTAAGCAAACCGCCGAAGCACGGAGGAATCAAAATCCCAAGTTCAGTTCGGCACGGCACACCGCGGACGGACGTGCCAGTGCATGCCCGCCAGTGCAGATGATCTTTTTTTTTCTTGGTGCGGGCCAGCGGGCTGGCTTATCTGATTGATTAACAGGTATATTCTAGATAACCTCCCTTTTGGTGGTTTCTTTATTTGCCACGAATATTTCTAAGCGCTTGCTCGGGGTTAAGTTCCTTTTATGGTATCTTTCTATTTTTTTTTTTTTTTTTCTCTATGGTTTTATTTCAATCCTCGGGGAATTTTAAGCTCGTTTTAACTGTACGGAGTAGTAAATGCGAGGCTTGAAGGAAACTGAGAACAGGCAGAGCACTGAGTACAGTAGATAGTTGGCGCCGTTGGCTGTTGGGGATTTGGCTTTTGGCGTTTGGCGTTTGACACTACTACTAGATAAGGTAACTGACTAGTAACTAGTATGTAGTGGATCATCGTTGACTTGCTACGTGGGATCAATGAACAAGGTTGATTCTAAGTACACTTTTGCTTGTTTTCTTTTCCTTTTTCTTTTGGTCATTCTTTCTCTCCACTAATACTAAATCTTCATCTTCCATTCTATGGCTAGTTAGACTAGTTGGGGCATAAGCATAGATACCTTGTAGTTGTAGCTGTTAACTATAAGCCTCCGTTTAAGGCCTCTACCTACTCAGTATATTCTTCTTTCATACAATTTCCCACTGGTCAAGTTTAGACATCCACCCGGCTCAGTCTTCTCACATCAAGTGCATCTCAAACACACCTCCTCCCCACTTCAGTGCGTCAAATATGGAAAGTGTCAGACTCGGTTAGTAGTCGCATGGCTATCGTGTTTAGAGAAGAAAAATAGTGGAAGAAATATATGACAAGTACAGCACAGAAATCGCCCAGAAGTAGTTGATACACACGAATAACGAACCATCCAGGAAAACATCAGAGACGCCGGAGTGAGTGAGAGAGTTGTTCAGATAGATAGAAACCATATGCGCTGTCGTCATGCACGTCGTGAAGCTCGTCCACCGGCCGAGGAAGGAGGGAGTAAGGTGGTGCCTCAACAGGATGTAAGTTCGATCATTCTATATACTGTAATCTACCATTCCACGTTGAAGGACCATTCCCCTGGTTATTGCACGTCAGTATACAGAATATTATCGTAGATTCGCAAGGGGCATACCGTTTTTCAAGTTCTCTGCAGTATCGCTGAGTAGGATCACCCGGCGCTTGTTACAATACGCCGTCTTGTCCAAGATGTCGACCTTCAAATTCGCCAGCTCCGGTACGGGCTTCTCAAACATCTCACTTAGGCTCTCCACCGCCATTTCCAGATCCTTCTGGTTATCCTCGAAGATCTCCGTCAGGTTGTTGCGGGCGAGGTAGTAGGCAAAGGCATATGTCCACTTCAGCGTCTGGCGACATTGCTGGAGCGCCTGCGATGCAGTATCGAGGAACTGCACCTCAATCCACGAAAGCCCAGACTGCGACTGCAAACTCGTCATCTTCTTCTCCGTCTTTAGATACAAATCTTTGTCCAACTTGGCTGACTGCTCATGGTTGGCATATCGGTTGTAGTAGTGGAGATATCGCTCCAGCGACGCCCGGGATCGCGCCTGCGCACTTCGGGCCTCTGATCCAGATTTCTCCTCGTAGCGGTTGCAGTTATACCAGCTAGTACCGTGTTCAGACCACAGTCCCATGCACATCCAGCAGAATTCGTGCTTGCACTTGCGGCAAGTCATATGGTTGCATCCGCCATTCTTTTCGATCGTTGAGTGGCATCGAGGACACTCCTTGGTATTGGCGGAGATCCAGTTCGCCGTCTCGGAATCATCCTCGCACTTCTTAAGCCACATCCTTACCAGCAAGCAGGGTGCTGGCTGGTGATCATTTAATGTGCATCCAAAGCAGAAGTAGTGCCTACAGTCACACTGCACAGTAGGTACGATACGACGAAGGTCACGCTGCTTTACAGGGCAGTCGACCGCGTATTCACAGTTGGGAGCCGGGCACCATTTGAGGTTATCTTTATCATCGACGTATGTTCGTGTTAGAAGCGCGTTGTATCTGGAAAGCGTCAGTAACAAAGCAAGCTATCGCGAAGGATGTGCTGTAGTTCTCACCTCTCCTTAAGATCGTTTGTCACCAGAAGGCCTAATGACTTCGAGTCCACGATCATATTGCAGCTATCACTCGGGCATTCTATCCTTGCTGCTTCACCCTCCTCCCGGATCTTCTGTCTCAGATAATGGCGATAGCAATCCACACAGAAGCGGTGCCCGCAACGCATGGCATATGTCTCAAGGTCGTCCCCGTCCTCGCAGCAGATGTCGCACACAAATCCTGGTATCACTTCAGTCTTTGGCGTTCCCTCAAAATTGGTACCAAGGCCCGCCTCCTCCAGCGTCTTCTCGGGATGGTCCATGTATGACTCGATCAACTTCTCCCGGTTCCATCGTCCATATCGCAGCAGAATAGCCGACGACTCTGGTGGCAACCCAAGGATCGACGAGACCTCGTTAATCTGCAGGTTCTGTTCTCGTTCGATGTCCTCCGGGCTCAACACACTAAACTCGACCTCATAAGGCTTCCGTTTCGTCGCGATGATATCCTTATCTTTGGAGAATCCGCCGTCAAAATCGTCACCGAAATCTGTAAATGACCCAACAAGAGTAACGTCAGCAAGACCCCGATAACAAAAAGGCAGTCAACCCGATCACTCACCTTCCCCGAGACTCTCGACGTCACTTCCTTGGGTATCCAGAAAATCATCCGGGCTAGACCCGACACTCATGAAGTCCTCGTCCGACTCCATGCTGGTAGACGCCGGAGTATCGATATCCGACTCCTTCGATCGCACAGGAACCGAAAAGCTCCCAGGGGTCGCTAGGGTGTAATCGGCGTCAGGGTCCTGGTCCGCGGGCTTCTGCTTCTTGCGGGAGGATTGGCCCGAAGAGGTTGCGGTGGCGGCAGGCGAAAGGGCGACGGAAGCCTTGGTGGCGGCTGTTTGGGGTTCGTTATCTACAAGCGTCGCCGCGGCCGCCTTCCTCTTCCTCGTGAGTGGAGGCGTGGTGAAAGCGTTTCTGCCCGTGGCAAGCCGGTTTTATGTGCTGACGCGAAAAAAAGGCAGGCCTCGAGATGGGATGTCGAGACCTCTTTTTCTCGAGACAACACACAGCCCGCAGCCTACCAGAAATAGCAGGAACTTTGGAAAAAGGGGGGGTGGAGGGATGTGGAAATATCCCGATGGCAATAAGGAAGAAAACAGGGTGGTAGAAGGGGAGGGGAACAGGGCAGCACTAGCCCTCAGCCGATCGTTGCGTGGAGAGCTTAATGATGTTCATTCAACTGCTTGGGCAAAAGGGAGGGGCGGGTGTGTCACTAACAGCCGGGCGGACGTCACGGGAGGGAATCTGGTGTGGGGTCCGTTTCTGGATCGATGAACTGCAGCAGTGGATTCGATTTAGGGGAGGGAATATCAGAAAAGAATAAGGTGGATTCCGATCCGAAAATATCTTCTCAACACTGGGATCCCCTTTTTCGAGGAATGATCCAGGATGGGAAAAAGGGAATGATGTATCCCTTTATGCTCGATCGCGGCTCCAAAGTAGAGGGACTTGGCAGGGTCAACTGCAGCAGGAGCCAGGAAGGGCCCAAGTTCTAGAGGGGGAATGAACTCCACCAAAGAGCCAAACTGTGGGGAGACAGTTCAAGGAACAGGTAAAGACAGATAGAGCCGTGCACATCGAAAGGGAACTTCACAGATGTGCGGAGTAAGATAGTTCCTGGGAAAGACAACAGCTGGTCTTTCCCCCCTCACGCCTCTTAGTCAAAGTGACATGTAAATAACTGACTAACGAGTCAAGTAGTGAGCAATCGCAGGGGTGCAATGATGACAATAGTGAAGATGATGTGTGCACTGTCGTCTATCCACCTGGGACAGCCCAAGTAGTAGAAGCAATAAAGAATCACCGTGAGGATATTATTGGGAAGTTGCTGGCTGAAGCAAGGCGAGAAAAAGCGATCGCCAACAAATAATTCCATCGTCACTGATTCATGGGCATCTACTTGCTTCTTCGGGCGATACCCGTGACTTTCTGGTTGATACCTGTGATATCAGGCACCCAATACAGGCACAGCAAGACAAGCAGATCAACGCTTCATCTGCAGCTCCAGTCATGCGGGTTATGAATATAATACATTCTGAATGGGGTAACCCTTTTTGTCATTGAATTTTGGACAATTCTGCTAGTGTTTCTAGGCTATGCTCTATATCATCTACTCATCATCTTCATCTTCATCACTCTCTTCCTCCTCGCTGCTCTCCTCTTCCTCCGCATTGGCCAACCAGTCCACAAATTGCTGGGACTGGCTGCGCACTTGGCGCATTTCCTCCGTGCTGCTCGACCGCTCATCGGCCCACCATTGCTCATAAGCTTCTTCCTCCACGATCTCCAGGTCGTACAGTTCCTTGGCCGTGAACAGCATGACCGTGTCACCACGGCTGCGGTGCGCCAGATCCTGCTGCAGGAGGACCAGCAAGTCCACTTGATCGGGCTTCTCGTCGCTGTCGCGGTCGAACAGTGACCGTTCCACGATCTCCTTGTACTTGCCGAAAATCTCCCGGATGGCCTCGCTCGCTCCCTTGCCACCGTCCATCAATTGTTGGATGCGCTTCATGAACGCCGAGACCACGGCTCGTCGGACCTGGTGGTCGGAAGCATTCGCCGTCATACGCAAACTGACCAGCTCCAGTTGTACCACGTCGGATGTGACGCCATCCCGCAAGCTGTCGTAGACACTAGCCGCAGCATCGTGGACGAAGTGGTCCTGGTCCTCGTCGTCGGACATTGTAGTACTGAAACTGCCCGAACGAGACCGGCCAAATTCTGAGATCTCCGAGGAAAGCGTCGAGATAGACTCTGTAGAAAGAGAGAGGTTCGCCATATTGTAAACTGCAATGGTAAGTATTAGCCACGTATACAGCCAGGATATGGAGGGAGCAGAATGCACATACTCAAGCCAGACGAAGCATTGCTGGCCGTCTCATCTTCGTCCTCGTCATCATCATAAGGAACGTACTCATATCCCTTACCGCCTTCGCCAACAACCTCGGGCTCACTGGCCGGCACCTCATCGTCGTCCTCCCGGTAAGCTGTCGTTATACGTCTTCCGTCGCTAACCTTGACACCATCGGCGATCTCGACACCGAATGAAATCAGGGAGCCAGGCTCGATGGTACAGTTCTTGCCCACCACTGCCCGGTCAGCAACGATCGCTTGGTTGACAGTCGTTCCATCGCCGATGACTGCGCCATCCCAGATATAAGCACCGTCCAATGTGACGTTCTTGCCGATCTTGCAGTCCCGTCCGAGGACAGTGTTCTTGACCGTCGTCTTGTCCCCAATGCTGGTGCCCTGGCCGATGACCGTGCGCCGACCGATCACGCACGAGCGGGCCAGAGTCACACCCTGTTCTTGATACAGGCTTCCCTTCCGAAGCTCATAGTTGTGGCCGCGGAGCAGATTGGTGTCGGGGCACAGAGGGTACGCCCAGCGCGAAATGACATCCTTGCTGACAGCGTCGTAGGCCTTCAGATTCCGGACCCGGGCAGCGTAGTGGTCCTTAACAATATGTGTGTGAATTGTCTTTCCGTTCAACTCGTAGTCCTTCAACACACCATATAGGAACTGTTTGCGGGGCGTCTGGTAGTCGAAGCTGTCGGACCAGAGACTCAGCACATCAGGTGTGCAGATATCGATGTTGCAGTCGATCAGATCCTGGCGCAGGTCAATCTCCTGGTGTGTCGTGATGAGTTCCGCGTCAATGTTCAGGCGAGAAGATTCGGGGGAATGATGGTCGATCTCCTCGTAGTGTAGACAGCGGTCCTTGGTGGGGTCGATAACGAAGACGGGAGATACAGACGAGGACTTGGTTCGGTGGTTCCGGCCAGCCTCTCTCAAGATCATGGTCATGATGGCGTTCTTGTCCGCTTCACGACGAGCACGGTGTTTGGTTAGCGCGCCTTCGATAGGCAAGTTGCTGATAACATCACCGCTGACAACGATGAAGTCGCCCGTGATGAGATGCTTGCCATCGAGATCACGCATGACATCTCCAACAGACGTCGACGTCGACTTGAGGAAAGTCAACTGCTTGAACGGCGACGACGGCGCTCTCCATTTGGACGCACTGTGCAAAGCCTCCTGGTCAGCCCAACAACAACAATAGCATATCGCCAGCATGTCCTGTCTAAGCCCACACGTACTTGATGTATTTCTCCAGCTGATCGGAGTGCGCTCCGCCGTACAGGAAGACATCCTCCACACCGGCATTGGCGAGGAACTCAAGCGTATATTCAATCAAGGGAGTGTTCGCAAGCGGCAAGAGACACTAGATCAATCATTCTGCGTTAGCTTTCGAATTCCCCCACCATCACTTCATCCAGTCAACGCAGCAACACAATCACACATACCCTGGGCTTCTCAAGTGTGAACGGCTCGAACCTCGTCTCAAAAGTATCCGCAAGCACCTAGAACCACACGGCGCCATTAGCCCAACACCACGAACCAGCCACTTTCCCACTGCGATTCGAAAAACAACATACAACAGCCTGCAATGTCTCTTCTACCTCCTCCGTGGCATTTCCCCTCTTCGCCGCACCACCTTTTTGTTTCGGGCCCATCTATACACCAGAAGCGTTAGCAAGTCAGAAATATCCAGAATCCATCACTCCTATCAAAGAGCGCCGGGGGCACACAATTGCGCACTCACATCAGGAACGGTATGTAGATCGACCGATGAGTAATTTCTCAAAAACCCCCACCTCAATCACAAAGAGACTCAGATACAGTGTAGGTCCAAGAATTTCAGAAAGAATCAGTAACAGGGGAAAGTGGGAAAGATATTGCAGGTGCAAAAAGTCACCTAGCACAATAGGCACAATCAGACAGCAACAATGAATAGGTTCGCCCAGGGCGCGTTCAACTCGCAAAATCTCCGCCAAGCCCGGCGCCGTCGGGCGGAGGAAGTCAGAGTCACGCTTCTTCTCTTCATCCCACCTGGCGGCCTGTTTGTCCTGTTTGTTTGTCTACTCCTACTTTGAAGACCCCCCACCTCACCTCGGCTGCTTCCCCTGGTCACCTAGCACGTGATATGTGCTTCACGTGACAAAGAGCCGTTGCAGAAGGGGGAACAGCCACAGTGGCTTAGCGAGTGCTGGGGTTCCAGAGTCCAGAACACCATCGAAGGCCTGGGCCCTCATGGACTCGAAGGAATATCCCTTGTTCAGGGACCGACGGTCTAGAACCTTATCTGTCGTGGATAAAGCTGATGAACGCCAGATCGGAGGTGTATCCTGCTTGGAGGGATCGGGTGGGCAGATCGGTTAGCTTGGGTCGCATGATGACGATGATGGTGGTGCTGATGATGCTCCCCTCCGCTCAACTGGTGGAGGGCCACCAATTCAACCTCCGGGGCTGGTGTGGGAAAGTGGTGGGCGCCTGCAACGTCATATTCCAAATCGCACTTGGTTACTAGACCTAACTGTGCTGAGCGTGAAATAGTCTCTATGTGGTTGGAAATGATGGGAGTTAATAATAGATTTTGAATTTGACTCTATAGACTCCTACCTCCTGACCCAACAACCCTGCTGTTGAGCATCAGATGCTTAGCTAACTATTTGACCCACAGCAAATTGACCTTCCACGTAACGACAGAGAATGGTTCCAAAGCGCCCCAACAAATGGAATATCAGGTCCAGAATGACGCGTACAATAGACACTACATGCTGCCAGCCCAAGGTCCTGCTGCCAAAACCAAGGTATCTGGATGCCATACTCCGAGTATCAGTATTTTTCGACTGCATCGGCCATCCAGTCAGTAGAAACGAAAGCAACGCAACAGTTTGCCGCAAAACGATTCGCAACCTATGCATATAAATAACACGCGCCTCCAACACCGGGATATATCGAGCAACGTCTGGAAAATAACACAGAAGCAGTACAACTCCCCGAGACAACAGTATCGTACGGCTAAGACTTCATCACGAGAAGAACAACAGAAATCGTAAGGTGGAGAGGCGTAGCAGTAGTGAGGTGAGAGATGCCAAAAGGCGGGTGTGAAAGGAAATTGGAAAAAAGGTCATCGTTCGTCTGGTGTAGGGCGAGATGAGAAGGGGCAACTTGAAAGACCCTCCATCTAGCCCGTTCGTGCAGCTTGCATGGGGTTCACCATTGGCTGCGGTTGATGAGCGTACATGCGTGGCCGTTTGGCCATATTGGGGTTTTCGGTAGCACTCGACATTTCCGAAAGCTGTCGCCGAGGTGGTTGCGGCCTGACTGCCGCAGGCGCCGTAGTAGCAAGCGCCACCGCGGGTGCGGGATACTGAACTCCGTTCTGATCTACAGCATATGCAGCCGCAGCAGGGGCGGTGGGTACATATTGGCTTTGGACTTGCGGGACGTTAGGAGCCACGGCAGTCATGCCTGGAAACTGGCCGGGTGATTGCCAAGCAGTCATCGATGTTGCTGGCGACTGCCCAGGAGAGCTGTCCTCCTTGACTGACTGGGCGGCCGAGCTTTGCGCGGCCATCGTTACGGCTGCTGCGGATTGAGGAGCCTCTATGCTCTGCGGCATCGTCTTCAGGTGAACCAAGTGTTTCTCAAGCATATCGAGAAGACTCTTTCTTGTGAAAGGTTTTGGAAGGACATCATCCATTCCTATAAATTGTGTTAGTCACTAAAATAGCAATAGAGAGTGACCGTACGAAGAAGTTTCAGGGGTGGCGGGCATACCATGTTGGAAGTAGAGCTGGATATCGTCACTGCGGATGTTGGAAGTCATGGCGATGATAGGGGTCCTGTCGAATTGGCGAATAAGGTGGCAAGCAGAAACACCATCCAAATTGGGCATGATAATGTCCATGAGAATAAGGTCATATTTGGAACCATCCTGGATCTTATTCACCGCTTCCAGGCCATCAAACTGCAGCTATGTCAGTCGGGCGGAATCCGAGCAACCCGAAAGGGATAACATACCGCGGTATCAATCAGACATGAGAAAGAATACAGGAATTTGCCGCCAATTTGACGACATGTCGCATCGTCCTCCACTAGCAGGATATGGGGGCTGCGTACCCAACCGGGATCGACATTTGCGCTCTTTTTCCGGTTGTCGGGGAATTGCCGTCGAGATTCGTCAATCTCTTGTTTGGGAGGCATCGGATACGGGACGTTGTTAACATGTTCACTGTACATAGGATCGATTCCGTTGGTGGCGCCCACTGGGTAGACGACGGGCTCGATCTCTCCGTTCATCTTGGAATAGACCATAGCAGTATTCGCACTTGCGTCGGCAGCAGATGGCCGCGCGACACCATTTCGGGGAGCGGTCTCCAGAGCAGGCGTAGGAACCACAGCGGTAGTTTTCGGTGGCTCGCCCATCGACTCTAGACCCCCTAGGTTGAACTGGATTTCGGCGTTCATATCATTCAGGAGCTTCGAGGCATGCTGCAAGGGCGACGAGGGCTCGTCGTCCATGGATGCGACCTGTGAAGGGCTCAGTGTCGAGCCTGCTTGACCCTGGGCTTGGAAAGGCACGGCAGCCGCTTTGCTGTCGCGCCTCTGGCGGGCATCAACAGAGAGCAGGTAAGTCATCACCTGGTGGATGACATTTTCATGGTTGAGGATGGTCTTTTGCACCCTCATAACTTCCTGCATCATGAGTTGGTGATCGACACTGAGCCGTGTGTGTCGCTCGTGTAATTGATGAATCTGTTGTTGTTGAGCCACTATTTGCTGGTTCAGCAGATCTATTTGTTGTGTCGGGACCGAGTCTTCGTTGCTCTGAGTCTGTTTGCGCGGAGCCGGGGCCTTCCGTCGAATATTATCGAGGGACTCTTTGCTGTTCGCTCTAAATTCAGGATGTTTGAACTCCCAGGCCTGAAGAGCCAATACAGTTAACACCTATCGCATCGACTGCTACCAAGCGCAGATTGCTTACGTTTTGGCCGTATGGCGACTGTCCGTTTTCCTCGTTGTTCTGTCTCACTTTGTGGAAGTCGTACTTGTTCAGCTGTCGCACGAAACTGGCAAAGTTGCTGTGTTTGAAGTGCTTCGGAAGGATGGTCTTGGTAAATTTTTCGCACTGAATGCAGTTTTTGGTCAGCCTCGAGGATTGCGACCGCAGAAAGGAGGAGGGGGGTGGGAGATGCGAAGAGAGCGCCGTACCTCCAAGACCACAAAACTGTCTCCTTCGTCACCCCATCGCACGATTTCCGCGTACGATGGGTCTTCGAGCATCCTTTGCGAAGAGTATTAGTACGCATGATCAGGTCGATATTATGCAAAGCATCGCTAAGTTTGATCAGGGCGCAGCGACAACCGGACAGCGAGAGCCCGGGGGAGTCGAGGATGTGAACCCGGCGGACGAGGAACCGGAGTGATGAAGCGCAGGCAAGGTACAGGGGAATAGTAAAAGAGGAAGAACTCACTTGTAGAGTTTTCGTACCTAACCATCGTGTTAGCAAAGTGAAGTATAGTCGCATAGAAAAATAACAGCGATCATGAGGTTCACAACGGTCGCTATCGAGGGCGACACTTACAAAATCGCTGGAGTTGCCCGCGGGGGCGGCGCTGGTCGAGGTCTGGCCACCGTCCATCGTGGGCTAGATGGGTCGCGACCGATCGAACAAGCAACAGGCTCAACAAGTCGCAAGGCGAGAAACGGGCGGAGGGACGGGAAAGAAGAAAAACCAGCCAGTCGTCAAATTAATGCGGGTGGCGAAGGGAAGAAGGAAAAAGGGGGGGGAACTGATAGATAGGAATAGAATAATGAACTGACAAGAAGAAGAAGAGGACGAAAGAAAAGAAGAGGAATGGAGGGAAAGAAAGAAAAAGACGAGCGAAGGTAGTAGTCGTGGTCGAGAGATGGTGGTGGTGGTAGGCAAGTTTAGTTTAGTGAGTTAGACTGTGTTAGTGAGTAGGAGGAATGGGGATTAATTAGTCAATGCCGTTCGGGTTTAGTTCCAGTCCCTCCTTTTGGTGGAGCCTGATATTTTTTGGGGGATTTTATTCTTTTCTTGTCTTGTTGCCCTTTTCCTTTAAAAGAAGGGAGAGAAAAGAAAATAATGGGGGAGAAGAAAAAAGAAAGGAAGAAAAAAAAAAGAAAATATTAGTCAAATCAAATAACATCAATTAAAACAAAATAATCATCAGTCAACGGTCGGTTAGATTAGGTAGCAGAGAGAGAGAGAGAGAAAGAGAGAAATACCGAGGGGCTTGTCTTTTCCCCCCTCTCTGTCTGCTGCTGCTGTTGCTGCTGGCTGAGTTGGGGGTGGATTAGAGAAAGGCAGGCGTGTGGGTAAGTTGGTTCTGTAATTTGCTTTCCATGGCTCACTCTCATTTGGCAATCAGGTTCACGTTCACCCAACCCAGCAAAGTTTCTTCTTGTAGTATCTACAGTAGTTAAATGTATGAAGTAGCAGTGGTAGTAGTGGTATTGTTATCGACGCATCTCCAATTGCCCCAAGTGGGTTTTCCGTCTTCCCCCCCGAGTACGTGGTCACTAGCCACAACTTCCAACCCACCGTTGGGTTGTCATTTCTCTGTCCCTTTACCCCTTCCGGTTAATCTTACTTGACTATGGGGGGAGGTTCAATTTCTCTAGTTTCTACTTGTCCTCCAGGCATTTTGAATGTGAATTCTCCGTTTGACGGGTATCTTGCGGCTGTTTCTATGCAGGACTTGTCTCTAATTCTGGGGGGATGACCTCACGCAAGGAGATCCATAGGAGGGGTAGAGGGAAAATTCTTAATGCTGAGCCAACGAAGACTAACACTAGTAACTAAATCTCTAGACCCCCGGGGTCTAACTAATGGGGAGAGACAACTCAATATTGTTCACCAAGAAATTACAATCCCCCCCCCTCCTTTTAAACTTTCCAAGCATACATATAAAGTATAGGGCGAAGAAGGAACGGTAGAAGAAAAAGAAAGGGAATAATAAATCAAATAGGTAAGTTTTGAACACTGAACAAGAAAAAAAGGGTAAATAAATTTGAAAATACAGAAGAAGAATATCCATTACCCAAAATCAAATGCACAAGGCACCAAGTAAGGAAGGCAACAAGCAAGACTGACCAGTACCCACCACTTCTTCTGGCGGAATTACCGGTCTAAAAAAGCTGTCAGTGCGCCTGGTGGATGCAGAATGATGCACGAAAAGGATGGGGGGAAAGCTATGGAGATAGGCTGCCTCAGGTGGAGGGGCCTTGGATGCTGCGCAGCGATCAACAACCCGAACGGCCGTGTTGTGGTATACGGAGGGAGGGGGTGGACGGAAGCAATGACCGTTTTGATGTTTATCTCTCAGCCCATCATCCTTGATTTTTTTGCCTTCGTTCATTCCTCTCGGACCCCGCGGTAGCCAGCGGATTTGTACGAGGTGGGGTCCCAGAGAATCAAATCAACTGGACCACATTCTGGCAAATAAATACAGTATGCCTTCAGTGCACGATCTTGCTCTGTTGGGGCATCCTTTCCTCTACAGATGGTTTCCCTCCTCAGGGGCCTCAATTTCGGCAACAGTTGCAGATCCCTCTCTCGTGGATTAGCCGACGATACGAGGATCCAGAGATGATTACAACTAACAGGTTATCAGGTGTAAGTAAGAACGACATGACAAAGAAAGACAGAGACAGACCTTTTCAAGGCCATTTCTAATTCGGTCTTCCCCATTGAGCCATAAGATGTGATAGAGAGAGATCGGATGGGCTCTTAATTTAGCACAAGGAGCTATGTAGTAGTATGGATCATGGAGACGCCACCTCCCGAACATCATGTACTAGTTCTAAGGAAGCTGGTACTATTAATATTATGCGAGACAACTATGTCAGTAAGTGCCCAACTAACTGCTGGTTAATCCGACTCCTGTCTGTCCTCTCATGCTCGTCTCATCCCGCTCACCAAGCCCATGAAGCCATGAATAAGATCATATCAGCCAAGGTTCCAGATGGGGAGGTGCTGCTGAGAGTCCAGACTCAAAACCACCCCCGGTCGAAAGCCACTTGAATGCTGCAAATGAACCCTTGCAGTTCAGAGACAGACAATGCAGGGTTGGTCCGTCAGTCGGCGGGAACAAAGGCTGTCAGAGATTCTGAGGCAGCGATCGAGACTGGTCCATGAGATCTTGCCGGAGTCGATGTCCGCCCGGTATGATTGATTCGATGTTCAACCCCCTCTTCATCGCCGCCCGGTGTCTACTTCCACATGCCGGGGGAGGTGAATCTGAAGAGACATGTAAGTAGACATACATGAGTGGGCCCTGGATATGGCGTTTTTTCGCCATTTTTCGCCATCTTTCACGTGGATGATTGTTCGATTTGAAACCAGCGAGAAGGCTCGGAATTCTCTTCACAACCACACAACTATGTGGCTTTATGTGCAGAGGGCAGCCAGGTGTTTCAAGCAAACCATTCGACCAGCAATGATAGTAGAAAGTTGCATATCCCCCTCGTCCTTCTTAGCAAGTCCGTCCCCACGTTCTCCATTTGATGTCCGGGCGCTGCAGCCGAAAAGCGACCATGACGAAATCATCGCAATGTTTTTAATGTTCCGGCCTCCCGAACGGGAGCAATTTAAATTAATGTTTGTTATTTCTGGAGAAAGCTGAGGAAGATCCACCAGCTCAGGAACAACAATAATCAACTTCCATCCAGCTCCCAACCTCTTCCTCCCTTCCACCTCCCATATCGCTCATTTCTCATTTTAACTTCCTGTGGCAACCCCCCGACGTGGTTATACAATTTCTCACATCAAACACATTCCTTGTCAAATTAACATCCATTCCTCCTTCTCGCCATCATGTTTGCGGCTCGTCGTCTTACCGCCGGTGTCCCTCGCGCCTTGTCCCAGAGGGCCCTTTTCCACAGCACGGCGCCCGCTTTTGTTCAGAAGGGAGACGCCATCCCGGACCTGGATGTCCTGGTTGAGAACTCGCCCGGCAACAAGGTGAACCTCGCCAAGGAACTTAAGGGCAAGGGCGTCATCATCGGTGTGCCTGCTGCGTTCAGTATGTAACCTTATTAGTCCCGATATTGTCGTCCCAATCCAGAAAAGGAGTGGTCGCTGTTATGAGAGATATTCCCCAGTGATAGATTGCTAATTGTTCCACCCTCGGCGGAAATTAGGCCCCGCCTGCTCTAGCACCCACGTTCCTGGATTCATCAACCACCCCAAGCTGAAGGAGGCCGGCCAGGTCTTCGTTGTTGCAGTCAACGACCCTTTCGTGTAAGTTACGGGTCACGTACTGTGTCATCCGTCGATTGAAGGTATCCTGGTTAACCCGACAACAGCACCAAGGCTTGGGCTACCTCCCTTGACCCCGAGGGCAAGAGCGGCGTAAGTGATATTATAACCTGGTTGTACGAATAACATCCGGTACCGTTTACTAACGCTACATCATAGATTCGCTTCTTGGGCGACCCCAGTGGCAAGTTCTCCGAGGCCCTAGATGTGACCTTCGACAGCGCTTCCATCTTTGGAAACAACCGCAGCAAGCGTTACGCCCTCCTTGTCGAGAACGGCAAGGTCAAGGAGGCTTTCGTGGAGCCCGACAACATCGGTCTTGACGGTATGATCCCAGTAGCCAGGATATAAGTTGTTTGTTACTAACAGAATTTGTAGTCTCTGCGGCCGAGAAGGTCTTGGCCTAAACCAGCCCAGAGTATCAGCATATAAAAGAGAAAAAAAAAACTTATATACTTAGGCTCTTCACATGACAATATATCATAATATTTATTGCAATATAGATCTATTTTCAGAAACACAGCCAGCGAAGCATAAGTCATAACTGGCAGCGCAAAGCCATGATGCCGAATAACCCAACGCCCGACGGCATGCCCTCTGAGGGCATGTCAATCCCCAGGATATATTCATTTCCTATTCCTCTAGCCTCCGTCTTTGCACTAGAGGTTAGCCCTGGTGCAGGGCCTGCCACTGCTCGGGGGTGTAGCACTTGGGCGTCCAGGCGTGAATCGCAGCGATCTCAGCCTTCAGAGCCGAGTTTACCAGGCGATGGCGAGCAAGCATGGTCTTCTTCTCGAACTGGGGGGAGACGATGACGGCCTGGAAAGCCTGTCCGCAACCACCTGTAGACAAGAGTATCGTCAACATCTGGTCTTAGGATCATATAGTTGTGTAGCATTCATTCTCTTTTGGAAATGCAATTAATCAGCACGGCGCTCTCATACCCGACAAGTCTTCAATCTCAACATGCTGCGCCTGCAACTGATCGATCAATTTGCTCTTCAGCGAGTCGGCCGTAACGCCCGAGGTAGCATCGGCCATGGCTGCGTTGACTGCCGCGAAGGAGCGCGCGGAAATCGAAAACGGTGACTTGTGATGGACGGGGGTGCGGAGAAGATACCGGCAGCTTCTGCTCAACAGGGTAGTGGTGCGGGAGTACATCAAGCGAGCCGGACGGCGGTATCGGAAGTAGTATAGGATAGTTGAATAGTTGAATATTAAGTAAGTATATTATGGATGAAGCGACCGATTGTCGTCAAAGGCGGTTTGAGTCAGAAGGGTGGGCAGCGCGGTGAAGCTTCTTCCGATGTAGGATGACGGAACTCCTTCATGATGGAAATGATCCTCTTTCTCTTCCCTCCCGTACCGTACCGTAAGAAACGGATTGGTCAGCTGCCGTTGTGGCTGGTGGGAACTAGCCCCAGAGTGGATTAGGTTGGCTGTGGCGCCAGCTTCTCCTCGGCTTCCATCGCTTCTTCTAAAGCTTCATCTGGTTTCATGTTCGCGGGGTATTTTCTAGCTCAACTTTGCGCTGCTCAGCCCGACATCCCGGAACTGCACCTGATCATCGCATATTCCATATCAACGACAGCGTTGTCTATGAACTCTCTTCGTCGGCAATCCGTCCGCCTCTATTGCACAATGTCTGCTTCATACCCCACTTCATCGCCATTCACGCAGGCAGTGGTGAGCTCCATGAGGAAGCTGTATGCTTTCCGTCACCTATATTGGTCAATCAAGCTTACATATGGCTAATTTCTTCAATGCAACAGCTACCCCGAGTCATTGGCAGATAAGAGCTGGGACAACACCGGCCGTAAGCTCTCATCCGTCCTCCGCCAATCTTCCATCCCATTAACTTTATATCCCAGTCCTCCTCGAAGCGCCCTTCGACCACACCCGCAGACAGAAAAACTCAGTCCTCCTAGCAATTGACCTCACCAAAGCAGTTGCAGACGAAGCAATTGCCCGTCGCGACTCAGTAGTCGTAGCCTACCGTACGCAATGCCCCCTACACCTGCACACCCCATCACCTACTCACACAGTTCCTCCGCAGACCCGATCATCTTCCGTGGCCTCAAATCCATCACCTTCAACGATCCTCAACAATCATCCCTCCTCCGTCTCGCCCAAGAGGGCATCAGCGTCTACTCCCCGCACACAGCCATCGACGCAACCCCCGGCGGCATGGCCGACTGGCTCTGCGACATCGTCACCGGCGCCATCGCCCCAACAAGCACCACCAAGCCCACTATCCAGAAATCCTCCTCAACACACTACTCCCACGCCACCTTCCCCGACCCACAGCCTGCTTCCCCCGCGACTCCCGTGCCCCATGTCCGAACCACAATCATCCCCTCTCCGCCCCCAGTGCCCGAGGGCATGGACTCAGCGGGAATGGGGCGCATCGTCACCTTCGACGAGCCCCAGCCCCTGACTGCCGTCGTGGACCGCATTGCCCAGGGCGTTGGATATCCCGGCGGTATCCCCATCGCTATTCCGCAGACCGCCTCGGTTGAGGACCTGAAGATCCGCACAGTCGGCGTATGTCCCGGCTCCGGGTCGAGTATCCTGCTGAAGGGCACGGGCGGGAAGATCCCCGATCTGCTTTTCACTGGCGAGTTGAGTCACCATGAGGCGTTGGCGGCCGTGGAGCGTGGGTCGGTTGTGGTTGCGCTGGCGCATTCGAATACGGAGCGCGGGTATCTGCGTGCAGTGATGCGGGAGAAGTTGGCAGATGCGGTGAAGAAGGAGTGGGAGGCGCAGAGAGAGGAGGGTTTGAAGGGTGGTGCGGTGCTGAAGGAGGTCTTTGAGGATGCGGAGTGTGTTGTGGATGTTAGTGAGAAGGATCGTGATCCGTATGGTATTATGATTCGACAGGTCTAGAGTTGCTGCTGCATCTACTAGCAATCATATATATACATACAAAATACCATATAAGCTAGAGTTCACATACAAACGAACAAACAAATGCTATCAGAAACAATACACACACATAGCGTACTATATACACCCACTACCCCAACCTTCTACCTACTTAGCCACTGCATGAATTGAATGATATTCTCATAAGAAGTGAAATCAACTCAACAAAACCCGAATCTCCCCCGTCGTCCTAGGGAACAACCTCCTCAATCCCCCCTTCTCCACTCCCTCCTCATCCTCCCCTCCCTCCTCCACCGCCTTCTCACCAACATCCACCCCCCTTGCCTCATTATCCGCCGCAATAACCATTCCCTCCACAAACTCAAAGTCCCGACAGAACGCCTCGACCGCATCCTCCGTGACACTCTTCACGAACGTCGCGCTGGCCACGCGTTTCAAGTTGTCCGTAGCATCCATAAGCGCGCTCGGGAGGAAGTCGTCCAATTGCTGGCTGATATTAATAAGTGCCTGCGGCTGGAAGGCCGGGAGGGTGAGGATGTCTGATATATTTGGTTTGGGCTTCTGTTGGTCTGTGGATGTTGGTTGTTGAGGGGAGAATGGTTCCAGGGCTGCGAGGAGGGTCTGGAGACCCGAGGAGGTGAGGAGGTAGCGATATTGGATATCGAGGAGGTCTGTGCGGAGGGTAGAGAGGGCTGTTTGGATCGGGGACAGGTGGGTGGTGCTGGCGAAGGGGTAGGGGGTGATGGTTGTGCGGACGGTGAGGTGGATGTTGGTTAGGTAGATGGTTTGGGTGGTGTGGGAGGGGAGATCGGCGGCAGAGGATTTGGCGAGGTCGAGGAAGGGTTCGAGGGCAGAGTGGAGGACGGGTGTGAATTTGTTTTCGGAGTTGGTGTCCTTGGGTGGTGGTGATGATGATGTGGTTTTAGGGCCGGGGGTGGGGATGGGGTCGGCGCCGTAGGAGGCCTCGTGGGTTTTCATCAAAGAGGTGAGGACTTCCAGGGCGTCTTGGAGGAATTGGGGTGCGGAGAGATCTGCTGGAGGTGTGAGGGCTGAGTGATCTGTTGAGATGTTGTTGACTTCGTCGTGCATGAGGGTCTCGAAGTGCTTGAAGGTGAACTTTTCGAGGGTCTCGAGGAGCTCGGCGAGGTTGGATTGAGGGCCGAGGAGTTTGCTGAAGGTCGTTTGGTAGAAGGATAGCAGGTTGACTACCTTGTAGCAGGTGACGGGGTCGTCGTGGCCTTGGATGACTAGCTCGACGCGCTGGCGCAGGGCTCGGGAGACACCGATGAGGTCGCGATTAACTAGGTCGCTGAGAGCCTTTTGTCCGTCGAAAGACACTTCCTTGTCTTCATCGATGCGGGACCAGGGTTCACTGCTTAGGCCGGCTTGGATTCCTTTGGCAAGCTCTTCGCCGTCGGCGACGAAGAGGGCCTCGAGTGCCTCGCGTTCGGAGACGGTGGTGGAATGCACCCAGGCCAGCATGTCTCCGATGTACCGAAGGGGGTCGTGGGCAGAGAACTCGATTGGCTTCACGTTGGTATCACCCGTCGTGCCAGAGACGGCATCAGTAAGGGCGTAGTGGAAGGCATCGGAGAGGACATAGTCTCGGGCCTCTGCGAAGAAATCCAGACAGCTGTGGAACAAGCTTGGCCGCTCCGCTAGCACTCGCAGGACACGTCTGATAGAGCTACTGATGCGAGGGTCTTCAAGGTTGAGAGATCTGAACTCCTTTTGTATCCACCTGTAGAGTTTCTGGTAGGCAGAGTTGAGGCTTCTTGAGCTCTTTTCCATGAGTTCCAGACCCAGTCGCTCGTTTTCACCCCCGAGTAATGCTTCACAGTCCCGGTAGACTTGTTTGACTCTGGCGAGAATCTCGAAGAAATGGTCATCGATAGGCTCCTCGGCGTGCGTCAGGATCAGCAAGTCCTCATCGGGGACGATGAAGTGTTGGGTGAAAGCTTCCAGCAGCTCCTGCTTGGTCTCTGCCTCTTTTCTCTGCTTCATCAAAGCCGACGCTTCCTCGAGCACTGGCGTTGTCTCCTGTCTAGCCGAGACGATATGTTTGCGCATCTCATCGCAAGTCTGATTCAAGTTCGTAATTACAGTTCCTATCCGTTTCAATTGCTACAGCAAGCCAAGTTAGCAACCATTAGATCTCTCAGCATAGGCGCATCTTACCTCCGCAACGAGCCCGAAATCCCGCACGATCTCGGCATTGCTATCGACGACTTCCTTCTGAACATCCAAGCGCAACTGTCTCCGAACTTCTGCCGTATTGTGTATCCCCCTGAGGCTGAGTGTCTCCAGCGCATCGCGAATGTCCGAGTCCGCATAGGAGGCCGAAAGTACACTTGTCAGTCGGTTGGACAAGGCATTGGATCGCTGGTGTACCGGGGGTGAAAGCGGAGAGGAAGCTGGTGAAGATGCTCGAGTAGAGCCATGGCTGGAGATGACTCCGTTTGGAGGGAAGTAGCTCGCCATCGTGGGACTGTACTGTTGGCCTAGTTGAGCTATCTGGCCGGGTGGTCGCTGCGAGTGTCCCGCTGGACTGAAGCGGAGGCGGGAAGCGGCGCAGCGCTTTCCCCGGCCGGGTTGTTGATCCGTCCCTGTACCTGAATCAACCTTCGGACCTCTCCTTTTTCTCCATCCGCAATCTCGCAAAAGCACCAGTTTCTCAATTGTCCGGTCATTACATGGCTAATCAGCTCTTGAATATCCGATTAAAACCCAACAACACGATTGATTGCCATGGATAGCCCCCTCCTCTCCCCCGCCAAAGCGCGCCAAGCAGCCATCCAGGCCAAAGATTGGGCCTATGTCAATGCATGGCTCAGTCGTCAGTACGCACCGAACCCGGTCCCCAGTTTCGAGCGAAATGAAGATACTCTGCGCACCCTCTTGGCACTAGCCGCTGCCAATGATACTGCGGATGAGGAGGCCACCGTTCTCCACCAGGCTCGCGAGCAGGCGGTCGAGAGCTTCAAAGTTCGAGAGGAGGGCGAGGAAAAGCAGAAGGTAGAAATACTGGATGAGGTGGAACATAGTCTTGACGACAATGGCAGACGACACCTGGACGACCTGGCAGAGACAACTGCAGTACTGGGAGCTTTGGGCACAAATACGAGAGACCTGGGCCAATCAATCATTGAGCTCACGGTGGAGGAATTCAATGCGCAGCAGCAGATGAGTAAAGTACAAGCGCTACATGACTACTTAGAAAGGGAGCTTGCTACGCTGCGAGAACAGCTTCTAGACCTTAAGACCAACGAGGTGTATGAAACACCGGCCAATCTCCCAGCGCTAACAGCGGAATGGACAAGAGAGACCAAAATGCTCAACGCCAAAGCCGGCGAGTATCAAGATCGGATTGCCTCCCTGCAGAGAAGTAAAAGTAAGGGACCTACGCTCGCAGAAGTCATTGCGGAAGAGCAGGGCGTGATCAGGATGCTGGAGAGCACCAAAGCACTAGTGGAGAGGGTCCAGAAATTCCATGATCTGCCAAAAGACGTCCGTGGTGCTCAGGTGCAATACAAGGAGCTAGAGCAGGAACTCGAGACACTCACTCAGCAACGAGACACAATGTTCGAGAAGCTAGGCGAGAAGCTAGGCGAGAAGTGAACACTACGCTACTGATATAAGACTTGAAAGAGTTATCAAAAATTCGACTAGTATTGAGCTAGTGAGACGTGATACTATCAAAGTGTGGTATCGTCAAAACTCATAAAATCATAAAAGAACAATCTGCCGTGAGCCGCCGACCCATCATCCTCCGAAATCCATGCATCACAGAGCGATATTGTTGTTGGTCATTACTCGTCGATCGATTGTAATCAGGGTGTGGCGTGCACTTAGTTACCACCCAGGCCAACGGCATTCTTGATTTTGTCGCCACTGCAAGTCTGTCAGTTAAATGCTTTTATAGCGACGGCATAGTCGATTAGGTGAATACTGACACCGAGCTGGTAGCACCGCCGTGGGCGTTGTTGTCGTGGGTACGCTGAGTCTTGTCGAAAGCCTCCTGGGGACCGGACTTGCTGTCGTCGGACTGGAAGCCGCGGGCGATACGGTCACCGGTGTCGGTGACGGTCTCCTTGACCTTGTCCTGAGTGGACTTGGCAGAATCAGGAGTCATCTCCTCCTTAGCCTCTGCAAAAAAAGGGTAAGCATCACGCAAGCCAGCTGCCAGCGGGGCGGGGGCGCCTGAGCGCAGGAAGAAGAGACATACTGGTGGTGAAATCCTTGCGACCAGAGTCAGACATGTTGATTGAGTGGTTGTTGAAAAGGGTTGAAAAGTGTTGGAAAGTGGTTGAGGTTTAGATTGGATTGCGATTTGTAGATGATTGAATTGTTGATGGATGAGAAAGACTTCGACGGTGCCAAAGAGTCTTTATATAAGTTTTTGTGAGGCCTCAAGTTGCTCCATGACGTCGACAATCCTGGCAGTGAATGGCTACGCCATCGATGAATGCGAACACAGCCAGTGAAACCGGGGGGAAGCAGTTCTGGAAGAGATACCAGCGAATCAACGTCATCATGAGGGGAGTACCCCGGTTTCGATCAGGGCGCCGGATCTTGCATGCGCGTCATCGGGCCATGACGATATCTGGGATTATTCACATTGTATGGAGTACTAGTAACTACAAGGTCAAGAAAACGGATGGCGCCAGAACTCGCCGATCTGGTCCAGACTTTCCTCTTCGGGAGTGCCCCTAGTCATGACGTCTGCATGATCGCATGTAGCTCGATGGGGTTAGCGCAAGAATGTTCTCGGAATTTTGTTCAAGCGATCCCCGATAGTGAGCTAGACTGAAAGCAGTATAGCTTTGTTTTTGCAGTGTAAACAGCAAGCGGTGACTACCAGCAGAAACCCGGCCAGCTGTTCACCGCCACGCGGCGAGTCCCTTCAGGCCGAGTCTGCCTGTTGTCCTGCCTGACGCTCTCCCTCTCTTCGTCCTTCCAATGCGTTTGGCGCCAACACTCTCTCTCGTTAGGTCTGCTGGACCACCATGTTGATCGGCTCTATATCTATTTGCTCTGTTTTTCTTTGCGATTTTGATCTACCGTTTTTCGTTTGTGCTTGACGTTCTCTGCGAGCCCGTCGGTTTGTGATTATCTCTGGAGGCAACCCCGCTCGCCTTATCAATCACTGCTCCAGCTACTGCCGGGCACACATCACCATCATTGCACCCCAATTCCGCCCTCATACCTGTAATGCCATCATCGTTTGAATCAGCTTCAAATTGGGATTTCACTCCGGTGATCAATCTCCTCCGCACCCCGACCTACGGCACTGGTAGCTCATCGGTTCCTTATCGCCACCCGGAGTCCGCCTCAATTGCTCGGCCTACTTGGGAGACAAACAACAACGATGGCTCCTCTTCCTCTAATGATGTGCGCGAGGTAAGGCCTGGTGAAGGAGCCCCTCCGAAGCTAGGAGACTTTGGTTCTCTCTGGGAGCTTTTAGGCAGTACTGGCATCTCGGCCATTCGCCCACCAGTTGAACCGTGTGATATCCCGCGGAACACGCCTACTCCCACGCCACAATCGCCTAAACGTATCGAAATTCTCAAACGACCTTTGAGTAACCATGTCGACTCCGCAGACTTGGATGAGGTGCTTCCTCGCACCCCATCAAAGCCTATACCTGTCTCCGGTGTCTCCAAGTCCCGCAACTTGCAGGCCAAGACCGCAGCCGGGAAACGAGCTCCTAATAAACCAGATACTACACTGAGTAAGCATGCAGATGAGTCTTGCACATCGGAGAGCGCTGTGGAAGCCGAGTCCGATGGCAACCTCAGCGTCTTCGATCCCCCTCTGCCTAAGAGTGGAGGCACTCCGTCGCTGGTCCCTCCGCAGGTCGGCACGGCGGGTGCCATGTGTGATCCATATGAGACGCCGCCTTCCTCCTACGATGAGTCTGTAGAAACACCTCCCCCGAAGACTGTGAAGAACCCTCACAGCTCTGGCACGCTACGGGTGCAGCCTGTCGCATACAAATCTACGGCTGATCGGAGGATTGGTCTCTTGACTAAGCTTTTGAAGAACTTCCCCGACTATGCAGATGCCGTAACCCAGGTTGGACGGCCTTTGATTCCTAAAAAGACGGACGTTACACGCCGCCCCATCCATGTCTTTGTTGACATGTCTAATGTATGTATGACCTGACAACAGTTGGGTGTTTGTACTAACTGGGCCAGATTATGGTTGGGTTTCACGATACGGTGAAGCTATCGCGCAAAATTCCGGTGAAAACGCGGATCCGTCGATTGCCTTTGTCATTCCAGAACTTCTCCCTAATCCTCGAGCGTGGCCGGCCCACCGCCAAACGAGTCTTGGTGGGCTCGGATCGATTTGCAGCCATCACTGAAGGCGAACAACTTGGTTACGAAGCCAACATTCTCGACCGGGTCCACAAGGTCAAGCATATGACTCCTCGCCAAATGCGATTTCGTAAGAATCCTCGAGCTGGCGCTCACGACCCTGGTAGCGGTTCAGAAACGAACGAAGCACCAGAGGAACGCTGGGTCGAGCAGGGTGTGGACGAAATTCTGCATCTGAAGATTCTCGAAAGTTTGCTAGACACGGACGAACCGGCAACCATCGTGTTAGCCACGGGAGACGCGGCGGAAGCCGAATTCTCGGGCGGGTTTATGAAGATGGTGGAGCGGGCGCTGAGCCGGGGCTGGGCCGTGGAGCTGGTGAGCTTCAGTCAAGTGACGAGCTATGCCTATCGCCGGAAGGAATTCCGGGCGAAATGGGGGAACCGATTTCGGATGATTGCGTTGGACGAGTATATTGAGGAGCTGCTTGATATGTAGGGCTTGGTTTATACTTGATAGCACTGCATTAGTTGTCGCTGCTTGTTGGCAGGTCAGATTGTTGTTACTTCTTTAGGATGTTGAATTGCTGGTGTTGTTATGAAGATAATTATCGATGATAGGAGCTTCAGATTAGGATACAACAAATTGAATCATTCTCGAGACGACTGCTGAGCTGGGATTCAAGTATGGAAGTATACTGTATCCCCTGGAATCCAATATATACAAGCTTCATGAAACCTAGTAATTTTATTCAATATACTGTTTCCATCTCATTCCATTTATTTAACTGTTATGCTGCTATCTTTATCATAGCTCCATGATTGTAGAATACTCCTTAGCTGAGATTGCCAATATGCGTGAAAGTAGACGGGGACTCATGTAGCAGATACATATTTGCAAGATACGATCAGACGGAGATGAAATACGAAGGATCAACTTTACTTGAAGCTACTACTATAATTGTTCCTCGGCCGGCGACCCGAACACCCCGCCCCCACCATCAAAGTTCCGCTCCGCGCAGCTCAGCTTTTCCTGTCCTCCATATCACAACATACTCACAAATCATCCCATACATCTCCTTTCCATTACTACTACATAGAAATACATCCGCCTACAGAGAAAGAACCATCGCCCATCTCTCACCGAACCACACCATACCACCACCACACCACACATCCCATTCACCCATTTCCATAGCATCATCCATCCATCCATCCATCCCACCATGACCTCAACAACAGCAACAACAACATGCACCTCGCAACCCCTCTACGGCGGCGCCATCAAAGGCCTCATTCCCAAAGGCTGGTTAGATGCCAGGTAAATCTTCTTCCCTTCCCTCTCTCCTCTCCACAACCAAACCCTCAAATACTGATAATAAGGAATAGTAACCTCCGCCAAATCCCGGACCACCAAGAACTCTACCTCTCCCCGACAACCCTCTCGACCCTCATCTACGAAATAAACGAATACGTCCCCGACAGCACAAGTCAGGAAACATTATCTAAGCATAGTGATCTATTTGCTTCTGCCACCGGCGGCACCACCACCCAGAATCAAGATAGAGAAACCCTCGATAAAGCCGCCATCCTCTACCACATTCTCGATGTCCATGACAGTAACGATGTCAGCAAAGATACTGTTCAATTCCGCACTCCTATAACGAGCGTGCCTCATCGGGACCAATGGCGGGGAGGGAGGGTATACACGGGGAGTGTGTCGTTGGGGTCGGTGAATCCAGGTGTGAAGGATGGGGTGCTTTGTCGGTTTGTGGTGGTGAGGTTGGAGGAGCAGGGGAGTGATTTGGTGGTTTGGGGGAATGTGCCTGTTAAGGAGTTTTTGGAGAGGGGGGATGTGGATGGGTTGAGGGTCGAGGAGGGCGTTGTTGGGGGGTGTGTGGAGGGTTTGGCTGGTGATGAAGATGGGTTTGTTGTTGTCGATTGGGATTTGTTTGGGTAGGGAGGGCTCTTTGTTGTCTTTTAATGTTTGGTGGAGGAGGAGGAATGATACCATTATGCGTATGTACTAGGTAGTTACTTGGATAGGTTAGATAAAAGCAAAGGATCTCTATACAAACATATAAGAGTAACACGGTAATCGGTGTATGTATCTTGATTGGTCTGTTTGTACACCTAGGGGGAAAAAAAGAACTAAACGAAAAGCTGTATGTATGTACATGATCGCTAATAACAAATCATTCAACCGTCAGTCATGACATACATCAAATATTATACCTCCTAGATCATCATCCACAAGATCATCCTCAAGTATCTCTGGTTATGTCTGCCTCTGCGTCTCATTTAACACACGGCCCACCTCATTCAACAAACCCCTAACACTCGGTGTTGGCGCGTTCACCGACTTCTTCAATGGCGACACATTCCTCACCTTGGGTTGGATCTGCTGCAAGACGCCCTGGCATCGGCATCGATGTCTCTTGGGATCAATACTCTTCGAGTGACGTCCATAGTCTAGGTTGCAGTGCACGCAGCGCCACACGTACTTATAGTCGATAGCGTAGTCGTGCTTGATCGAGACCTCGACTTTCCCACCATAGACAGGATGGTTCTTCATTGCTTCCTTGCACTTGCGACCCCATGCCTTAAAGCTTGTCCCATGGGGGTTATCATGCACGCCTGAGATCATGTAGTTCGCCAGATGACAGAACTCGTGAGCGACCGTCTTGATAATGCGTTCTTCGCAGTCGACTACCTTTGCTGCTAATTCGATGGTGGCATAATGCTGCGGTGGCATGGCCGGCCCTCCTCCCTTCTTCGGTGACGGGGTAACACATTTCCAGGATGCTCTGCCGGCGGTCGTTTGGAGTCGCTTTTTCCATTCGATGATCACGCCTCCTGTCGAGGCGGTCATTCTTGAGAGTCGCCCGTCGGTTACGGTGTCGTCGAGGACTTTGAAGAATTGCTCGGCCATGGCTTGTCTGTTCTCCATGAATGCCTTTGCGCGCTCCCGCTCGAGCTTTCTCTGTTCCGCTTCGGCCTTTTTCATTGCTGTCTTGCTGGGTGTTCTTGTCGAGGACTTGGTCGTCGTCTTCGGTGTTGCGGTCTTGGGCATAATCTCCCTGTCGCTGAACTCATCATCCGAGTCGGAGTCGTCAAATTCGCGCAGTAGATCGTCGATCTTGCACGGAGAGTGCTGGTCGATCCAGTTGTTAGTGTTTTCCTGGCTCCAGAATGCGTCGACGCTTTCTCGATGTGGTGTTGGTGGTATGTGGGCCTTCAGCTTGGATGGAGATCGTAGACTGCGTCCCTTTGTTGGACTGGATGGGGGCGTCTCCAGTTGAACACTGTCCCTTGATGGGAGCTTCTTGGTGGGGGCGTCTACTTCTTCGATACTGCTACATGGTGTTAGTACATATATGGGTGGCTGGGGGTCTCCATTAAAACTCACTCATAAGTGCTCTTCTCGTCCAGTTGGGGCTCTATGTCTTTATTGTCCAACTTCAGCTTGTTCAGCTTCTCGGATATTTCCAGCTCGCTTTGAAACAATCTCTTGGGCTTTGCCTCTAGCTTAGGAACCTCCATTGTCATCGTAGCAGGCACTGAAGGCTCTAAATCGAGGCTTTCACGCGGAGAATCCTGAGGTGTTGTCTCTGGCTCTATTTCTGGACGGGGTCGTCTCCCTCTAAGCAGTCTCTTTCTAGTCCTGGGCGGCGAAGGAGTTGGCTGTTTCTCTTCTTGTTCTTCTTCGATGCTTTCATCGTCGGACGTCTCATGATAGCTGATTTCTTCGTTGTCGCTGACAATGAAATCATCCATTGAGTCAAAGCCATTATTCTCTTCGCTTTCTTCAGCCTCTGACTCTGTCTCCTCCCGACGATATCCCATATACCTCGTCCGAGACCTGCCCCGCGGCTGCACTTCTCTGTTAGTATTACGCGTAGGCGCTCGGTTCGAAGCAGTAGACGAGTTTCTCGAGAGACCCGAACTCTCATCTGCCTCCTCTGCCTCATCATCGATAGGGTCATTTTCCTTGTCGTAATTATACCCTACCGACTTACGCGGCGGCCTATTATTCCGCGACTGCTGCGACAATGGAAGCAACAAAGAATTGATCTGCGAGAGCTTCAAAGGATCCGTAGTGCGTCCCTCATTCGACATCAAAGACCGAGTCGACGAGAAACTACTTTCCTCCGTTTCACTCTGCTCGTCCCCATTGTCCGAAAAGATATCGAATACCCCACTAGAAACAGTCCCCGATCTTTGTAGTCTGTTATTATTCTTCCTTTGCGACGGTTCTTCGATCGCTGGCGTGGTCGCGGAGTATCGGCTCTTTGTCCATGTCTCGTCGGCGGCTGCCCATTGTTCTACTGTCTTGGCCTTGGCTGTCGCGGTGTATTTGTTGTCTCTGGAGTCCCGCTTGATGGTCGCTGTGCGGTTGAGATTCCTCTGCGCGGGTGGTGTTCGGCGCTCTTGGAGCTTGGCTGGCTTCGTGGGGCTAGAGGGGTTGAGTCGAGCCATTGTGGTCTTATCTTGTCTTCTTGTTCGTTGCGGCGGCTGCTGCTGCTGGTGTGGTACGAGCAAGGGCTCCTCTTTTGCTCCTCCCACTCCTGCAGGACAGGATGTGAGATGTCAGACTGCACCTGCTGGAATGTTGGGGCTTGGTGTATGTGGTGTCTGCGGGCTTGCAGATGTGGGTGTAGTGTACCTGCGTATGAGCTGGTGCTGGATATATCTATGCAAGTAGTCTAGATAATGTTGATGGATGGGCAAAGAGAAGTGGTTGGCACGGCAACCTCGGGACTTGGTTCGCCTACCACGGGATTGCCTGCTGGCGGGGATTGAGTTCAAGGTTCTATGGCGGATGCGGGATGCTGTGGTTACCAGAGAGCCAGGAACTTTGTTCGTCTCATGTCGTAAGTTGAAGTCCTACTGATACGAAATGATTGTCTTCTTGATGAACGAGGAAGAAAAATAAAAGCAAAAAGATGAAGACAAGGCCCGAGCCGCGGATCGAACGCGGGACCTCTCGCAGATATGCTTGGGTTTGTATCCCTAAGCGAGAATCATACCACTAGACCACCCGGGCTTGTTATATATTTAGTGCTCAACTTCTTGGCTTATGAGCCTAAACATATTTTGTAGATCATGAACAACCATTCCGTATGCCGTCAGTGGTCATGTAGACAGGTTGTCTACTTCTATATTACTGGTTGATTGGTGGTGTCTATGTACTCACTATCGTTAAATCCTATACATGCTGTGGCCGAATCCTATAGCTTTACTGCCTGTGATTATGTTGATGGGGTAACATCCGCCTCTGTAGTCGACCAATATATACATCGTCACCCGCAAGCTATACGCACGACCAGACACTTGCCTGTACCAATGAATAGCCATATAGCGGTACTACTAGTAGCCAGCAGTACCGACGTGAAGCGAGTAGAGAAGTACAACATCTCTGGTGGGCAGCATACAAACGTATCCAAACATAGTCTTTCAACCGTGGACAACGACGCCGTCACACAGCAATAGCAACAGGCATAAACCCACTAGACATGTGAAACATTGGTCACCAGGACAAACGATGATATCACCAGCGCCATCGTAGCCGCTGCATATATAAAACACGGGTGCAGAGAGCAGGGACACAGATCGGACGCACCGAGTCTATCGGGGTGAACAAACAACCATGGCAGGACCGAAGTGCATGGCAGGGATTACTCGTCCAAAAGCATGTACTACTAGTAGCCCACATTTAAACTGACAGAACAGAGCTGGAGACACTGTCATATGCATAGAAGACCATACCGCAAAGCCCGGGTGATAGTGGCTTGCATACACTACTACTACATACCCACGGGTATACTATATATCATCGAGCAAGAGAGCGTTTACACTCACCAGCCACATAGCATTAAATGGTCGAAGGAGTGCTCAATCAACCGAAGGACATGTCAAGCTCCCAAGCATATACCCGATACATATACCGGATGGCGTCTCAAAGCCATTACGCCGAAATGTCCAACCCAGCCAAACCAAGCACAACCACATCATATGGCACACGAGAGGTACGGAACGAACCAAAGCAGACAAACCGAGACCAACCATCCACATGCACAACAACCCATGTCGCACTGCATCCATCAGGTCTAAGACATGAGGTAAAGAGTTGCCCACTGCAGCATCGCACAGTCCAACGCAGAACCCGATAAATGCATACAGTGTACATGAAATCAAGCTTTGGGGATACCGTTGCCTCCACCCGTGCAACGCAACTGAACATACCAAACGCAGGTGCATATCATACCACCCACAAGAGCCACAAGTACTCCATAAGTGCGGAGGTAGTTGCGTAGCTACGCAGCACACTGTAAACAAGTTGAATAACCGAATGCGGAGAGAAGCTACAAAGTATCTATTTACAACATCCCAACCGTGCAGATCAGACAGACAGAACAGCTGTGCGCAAGCAAGGTTGCTAATCACCCCACTCCCAGCCAAACAAACTTTGTGACTTGCCGTGCCTCTGGATCCCGATGTTGCTTCGACACATGCCGATCTCGAGTTTCAAGAAATCGAGTTGCAGATGTACATAGTTAGCGTGGTATATCGGTGTGGCGATGCTAGGCTGCTAGCATCTGTACCTACTGAGACCGTCGGTGGCAGGACAGCACGGGACAGGATATGTAGCAGTATCCAACCTCTTCTCTCTTCCTCTCTCTCTACATTAGCGACTGTAGTTAGTTATGCACATGACCGACCGTGCAGTGTCTGATGCTGATCGCTCCTTTTTCCGTCGACAGAATTATTTCATGATTATTCAGGAGATACCGAGTATCTACTCACTTCTGTGGAAGTCGAGACTCCCCCTGTCCAGCCAGCATTATTGATTGATTGATATAGATAGTATCCATTCAGTATCTATCTTAGTACCGAAGCGGATAAGGAGTCCATGTCCATTAGCGATCATTAATAATTATTTAATGAGGAAGATAATAATAACCCAACCCTATAAACTACCTAGTACTTATCCATCGGCTAACAGAAACCAAGCGGTGTAACTTAAGTGGAAACAAAAGATACAAATTTACAAAACCTGATGTGTGTTTACTTTGTAAAAACGAAAGAGGAATCAGAATCAACTTGCTGATTGGCACAATAAATGGAGGTTGATAAAATGGTGGTGGTGCCGGGGATCGTTCTAGGTCGGGCCAAATGGAACCTGAAACCACACACCCCCTTTTTTCCCTCTTCCCAGACAAGAGTTCCACGTCGTCGTCCTTTTGGACCAGTCCGGGCCCTTTCAGCCAGTCGAGAGTTGTCCGGCGTTAAGAAATCGCCACCCGTTGGCCTCTTGGTCGGGCGGACGGGTCCGATTGGATAGTTCCCCGGTTGCGCATGTCCTAGCCCCACAAAGTTTCTGTTTAGGGATTGGTTAAGGTGTTTTATTTCCTTTTTATGAAACCTGTATTGGAAAGGTGTCCTAATCCTACAACAGTAAGTATCTTGCTCCACAGTAAGCACAGTAGATTATTACAGAGTATCCGTAGTAAGATGGATGATGGATCAATCGCTGCATTTGTTCGCTGTATTGAGGTTGAACGGCTGGGATCCTGGCGGTTCACCAACCCCCCATCATTGCATGGCCCGAAGTCAATTAGATATGCAACATAAGCAAGTAATATCCGTTGAATGCCAATCGCATGGCTGTGCCTGAGAGACGCCATGGTCTTATGGAGGCGTCAGGCTCACTCGTTTGCATGGTGGTGTTCTGATATTTGCCAATTGGGACTCCTAAAAGTTTGTTGGTTATATTCAACCACCCATGCAGCGTTGCGATTACTTAGAATAGCAGTAGACTCATGAGGGGTTCGGACAAGGACCGTGTTCCTGAATTTCACCTGCAAGGGCAGAGATTTATCTATATTTATATATAGAGAGCTGGTCTATGGTTCACCAGCATAGCATGGCCGGAAACTATTTTCAATATGTGTCAAAAGTACTGCCCATAGCAGAGATCAATTTGTTATAGAAATACGGAAAGTCAATCTATAAACGTAGACATTTATCCACATGAGAAGGGGGAACCAAGGAACCCAGTAGCAGAATAAATGAGACACACATATTGTGAGAACCTCAACCGGTGGTGCAGCGGTAGCCGGAACCGTGGCTCCGGGGGTTGCTTGGTTGCCCTTCGATCTCGGTGCAGTGTTTATTCATGTCACCGACAGATTTCGGAAACAATTTTCAGAAGAGCATGCTTTTGACCTGCATCATAGCGGAAAAAGTCTTAAGAAAAAAAGTGGCCTCTATGGGGTGATGCTCGCCCGAGTCTAATTTGGGAGCCGACTCTATCGTTCAAGTATCGGCGTGTTGCGTAGACAGCAGATAACTAGGTGGATGTATAAGCTTCACGTTCAGCAATCATTCCCACACAAGAAAGCAGCCTATCCTTCTAGAACCCTTCCCCTCTCAACACCGCCCGGAGCACTGCTTTCCCGGCGACAAGCGAGAAAAATGTCTAAGATGAAGCAGATACAGTAGTCGGCTGCTAAGCGCTTAGTGTGTACCCACCGCAATGCTCTTCCAGCCTTCCCGTAGTTGAAAAAAAGGCTGGGAAGAAGGCAGACCACATTGTCTTGTCGATCATCTAGCCTGATTATCTCTTACGATTTCCGGGAAGGCCCAAAGATAACCTTAGCTTGCCAATCAGAAACAAGATATTGTCGGAAGTCCTCTAAGGAAGCAAAGAAGGCACCGAAAGAAAAGCAAGAATACAGCCACTTCGACCAAGGCTCAAAGTTGGGTCTAATGTGTAGGTGGGGTTTCGCTTGCCTCGAACACTTCAATCTTAGTGGTTTGATGCTTACATTATTATCTGGGAAAAAACGGGTCACTTGCTTATGTGGTGTCAACGCATGGTCTGCTGAGTTGCGTTACGCAGTTATCATGCAGGTAATGTGGCTGACAGGTATCCGTGTAAGGTAACTTTCAGTTCTTCCCATGTGTTTGTTCATACGGGTACCACTACTTTTGCTGCTGACGGGATCTCGTCTATCAGACGGCGCAGAAGCAAGCAAAAGAAGGCATCAGGGTCTGTCGTTCATTCGCAGCTGGATTAAATAGATCTGGTATAATATTGGGATTCCTGACTCGAGGTGCCTAACTCCCCAAGGGCCAGGTCTCATCAGGAATCCATCTTATTCTCCCAGGACCTGTCTATGAATCAAACCAATGAGCGGAACCACCCGGCATAGTTTATTACTCCATGTAAAGCAGCAACCACTGTTTAATGGATGAATGGCTTCTTGTGGCTGGGACGTCAAGTATGTTATGCCTTCTTCCTATTGTTGTTGACTGTCCTCGGGAATGGAAAACAATCCTCTGCATAACCCCATACTCTGCATTCCTGCAGGTTCTCTGCTAATGAAGATGTATTCCATTAACCTTGAATGAACACCCGCCCACTTGAGTAACCCAAGAGATTTATTGCCACCTCCGATAAAGCCACCATGTCATGCGTCTATTTCTTCCACTCTATATAAAGTTTGATCTACCCTCACTGTGTAAGTAGTACCCGTTTGCATCCACCCTCGCGAGGCGGGTTCATCGGGTCAACCACAAGAATAGCACCTTGATTTGATAGTTGGATGGAGAACCCCGTCCTCTAGTACTACTGTGTAGGGGCCGATTACCCGTCAATGTGAGATAGCCGCCGGGTATGAACTATTGGTGGCAAGGGGGGAAGATATAATTGGAAAAAAGTAAAAATGGAAATATTACCTACCTACCTACCTTAATCAGCGGTTATGGTTCGGAGGAGCTTTTCAAGTGGCTAGCAGTGATATAGCTTCCCACCGTGGCAAATCGACTGACGCTACTCGTTTGTTTTCGAACTACCAGGTTACGTATTGTCAATAGGTAGCAAATCCAGCGGCGAATAAAAGATGCAAATGGAATTTTCAGTCGTGCAAAGTCTTCACGCTCAATTGAAAATGAAACCGCAGCGTGGATGTAAGTACGGAGTTCCAGAGCATCTGATATTACCTCCACTAGATCAATGTCGCTTGACGGATGTAATGCCCTGTATGGATGATCTATAGTCTATTTTCTCCAGCAAGCAATGGTTATATTGGCATCGAATATGGGGCAGTTGTACAAAGTAGTAGTTTACTTTGTTACGGCGACGAGCTGATTATGCTGACACACCAAGATACAATAGGGCAACCATGGGTGCCAGGTCTTGGATCAGGAACGAAGCGAAGCCCGAAAAAGAAGTTGAACCAAACATCCCCTCCTCCTTGAGGGGTTCACAGTCCTCCATGGACATAAATAAACAAGATCATGATGGTAACAACCGCCATGAATTGCATAGCGACGCATTTTTACCCTGGCCACGACCATATCTGCGGCGGTCGTTGAGAGACAGTTTTCAGGCTTCAGGAATGAGGAAAATTATCCCTGCATGCCGTTCGGAAGCAACGTAAACAACAACTGTGGTAAATTGCTGTCACGACGATACACCACAAAAGGCCATACCGTACGAATACAGTTTCATTGCGCCATCTGGATTACCTGGCGGTGGGTCGGGGCTTCAGGGGCCGTCTTGATTCCCATGGATTCCGGGACCAACGCCGTCTGGCCATCTTGTTGTGCCGGAAGTTCACGCCGCTTAACCTTCTCCTACCTAGAGCCTCGAGCTGTCACTGTTTCCTTTATTGAAAATAAGGAAAGGATGGTCGCCCCCCTTAGGGGTGGGTAATAATTACACCATTGACCATCTTGATTGATATCATATATTGGAAAACGGAGTGATGGCAAAAAAAAAAGAAAACAAAAAGGGTAAGGGGATGACTGAAAACAGAGGGGAGATACGTAGATTTTCCACGTTACTAAAAAGTAAATAACGACTCCAGCTTGTGTGGCCCATCATCCATGGTATCTGAGGCACCTCGAATCCTTGACACGACATCTGGTAGGTCAGTTTGGTAGGCAGCATGAGCCACCTCAGGCGGCAGTAAGCCAATCACCGAGGACCCTGCCAAGTAATCCGCAATTCATTCGACCGACAAGTCAAAGAATCTCCAGGCCCGAATTGGTGAGGGCTGAGGCGTCGGGGGGTTGTGGTTGTTGTGGACAGAGTTGGACGGCGAAAAGTGGGTAACGATACGCGCGTTTTGGTACTGCGTGCGGTAATACCGATGGTAACCCCCGCCCGGTGCAGGTGGGATGAATGGGGGAGGGTGAAGCGGGCTTGTGATAGGCTGCAGGGGCGCCCATCTGCTTACCATATTTACACCACCCGGGCCTTTTTAGGAATAATCCAGTATCGCATACAGGTACAGGACTGGGCGCGCAAGTAAATTAGCAGATCCAGATCCCAAAATAACCACCAGCGCCGCCCCCCCTCTCCCCTTCTTCCCAGGTCCTACTAGGGAGTAGCGCCAGTCCTATCTTCCCTGCTTGGGTGGTCAATCAATTCCCTTTTCACCACTTACCGTCCAACTCAAGCCTCCTCCTCCCTCCCCGTCCGTCTCTTAGTTCCTTCCTTCCTTCTTTTCGTTCTTTTGATCTTCGACCTCTTTTTCCTTTCGGTTCCTGTTCGCTCTTTTTTTCGTCGACACTTCGTTTCCCCCGACTCATCTTCTGCAACACTAGCGACCTTCCCTCCCTCCCTTCCTTCTTTCTTGCTTTCGTTTGAGGAAAGAAGAGGGAGGCCTTTCTTGGCTGAGACAGGTTCAGCCAACGGCAGTCGGGAGGCTTTTGCTTTTGAAATCCCACCCCCTAGTCGTGTTTTGTTCTTTACTTCACTTCACCCTTCCATTCGTTTATCGAACGTCCCTCCAGCGACGACCAACCGGCCCCGCCCTGGAAGTCGACCTACAGAGCAAGAGAAAAAAATAAGCAGACGATCGTTTCGAGTTGAGATTGTTGTTTAGTTTTACGCCCTTGAAACACACTCCGGCACTGGTGCCTTCAGAGAAAAAGAACGCTGCGCCAGCATCAAAAGTCATTCTTCGACGCGTTCTGAACATACACATCCATTGCGCCAGAAGTGCTATCTGTTTACGCTTATTTCACTGGAAATCGGATCAGAGTAATTTTTAATGGGCCACTGTTAATGTAAGTTGCAGGATCTTGCATTCAAAACGCCATCCGACCCCTTAGTAAGGCCATATTGATACTCATGGTTTAGAAGAAGATATTAAACGGTTCGGTGATTGTGGCTATTCAACATGTCAGGCTATCCAGCAGGGCATTACGAGGATGGCTACGGCCACCAGGAGCATGGGGGCGATGCGTACTACCAGGACGAACATGGCCAGGCTTATTACGATCCTAACGATTACGGTGACAGCTATTATGATAGAGGGTACGTCTCCCATTCTGAACAACGATCGGTACCCAGATTGTTCTGTTGATTGACCATTGTTTGTCCCTTGAACAGCAATTATTACAACGCAGAAGGAGGTCAGGCATATGGCCAAGAAGGTGGTTACTACGATGCTGGTCACCAGGATGACTACTACGGTGACCAGTACTATGACCAAGGAAATGGTGCCCCCCGCGGAAGACGCCGTGGAGATTCTGAGGAGGATTCGGAGACCTTTAGCGATTTCACCATGAGGTCAGAGACTGCTCGAGCTGCGGATATGGATTACTATGGCCGTGGAGACGAACGTTACAACAGTTATGCCGACAGCCAGTATGCTGGTCGTGGATACAACGGATACCGGCCGCCATCTTCGCAGGTCTCGTATGGCGCCAACCGATCATCTGGCGCTTCGACACCCGTATACGGCATGGACTACGGAAGCGCCCTTCCTGGTGGACCGCGTTCTCGGGAGCCGTACCCAGCCTGGGCATCGGATGGTCAGGTCCCTGTCTCCAAGGAGGAAATCGAAGATATCTTCATTGACTTGGTCAACAAATTCGGTTTCCAGAGGGACAGCATGCGCAACATGTATGACCACCTGATGACACAGTTGGACTCCCGGGCCTCCAGAATGACGCCCAACCAAGCCCTTCTGTCTCTGCACGCAGACTACATTGGTGGTGACAATGCCAACTACCGCCGTTGGTATTTTGCTGCCCATCTGGATTTGGACGATGCCGTGGGATTCGCCAACATGAAGCTGGGCAAAGCAGACCGGAAGACCAGGAAAGCTCGCAAAGCGGCCAAGGCGGCAGCACAGCAGAACCCTGAAAACGTCGAGGAGAACCTGGAGGCCATGGAAGGCGACAACAGCCTGGAAGCCGCTGTTTACAGGTGGAAGAGCCGCATGAACCGCATGTCCCCGCATGATCGTGTGCGCCAATTGGCTCTGTACATGCTGTGCTGGGGTGAAGCTAACCAGGTCCGGTACATGCCTGAGTGCATTTGCTTCATCTTCAAGTGTGCGGATGATTACTACAGCTCCCCTGAATGCCAGAGCCGGGTTGAGCCGGTGGAGGAATTCACTTACCTGAATGAGATCATTACCCCCCTCTATCAGTTCTGCCGTGACCAGGGTTACGAAATCTTGGATGGCAAGTATGTTCGCCGCGAGCGTGATCACGAGAAGATCATCGGATACGATGATATGAACCAGCTTTTCTGGTACCCCGAGGGTATCGAACGCATCTCATTCGAGGATAAGACTCGTCTTGTCGATGTCCCCCCAGCTGAAAGATGGACCAAGTTGAAGGACGTCGACTGGAAGAAAGCATTCTTCAAGACGTACAGAGAGACTCGGTCCTGGTTCCACATGATCACCAACTTCAACCGTATCTGGGTTATTCACCTGGGTGCTTTCTGGTTCTTCACTGCTTATAACGCCCCCACCTTGTATACCAAGAACTACCAGCAGCAGCTGGACAATAAGCCCGCTGGTTCAAAGTATTGGTCTGCTGTCGGTTTTGGTGGTGCCCTGGTTGGATTAATTCAGATCTTGGCAACGCTCTGTGAGTGGATGTACGTGCCTCGCCGGTGGGCAGGTGCTCAGCATCTCAGCAAGCGTCTTATGTTCCTTATCGCCGTTTTCATTGTCAATCTTGCTCCTGGTGTCGTGGTCTTCGGTTTCAACAATGTTCTCAGTGAGACAATCTGCCTCATCATTGGTATCGTCCACTTCTTCATTGCTCTGGCCACGTTCTTCTTTTTCTCCGTCATGCCTCTTGGAGGTCTGTTCGGCAGTTACCTGAAGAAGCACGGCCGTCAATATGTGGCCAGTCAGACATTCACGGCGAGCTACCCTCGCCTGAATGGCAACGACATGTGGATGTCTTATGGTCTGTGGATCTGTGTTTTCGGTGCGAAGCTGGTCGAGTCTTACTTCTTCCTGACTCTGTCATTGAAGGATCCCATGCGTATCTTGTCGCCGATGCGTATCCATCAGTGTGCTGGTGTGACATACATCCCGAACAGCCTTTGCCACGCCCAGCCTCAGATTCTGCTGGGTCTGATGATGTTCATGGATTTGACTCTTTTCTTCCTGGATAGTTATCTGTGGTATGTCATTTGTAACACCATCTTCTCGGTGGCTCGGTCCTTCTACCTGGGTGTCTCCATCTGGTCGCCCTGGAGAAACATCTTCTCTCGCCTACCGAAGCGTATCTATTCGAAGGTCTTGGCTACGACCGACATGGAGATCAAGTACAAGCCCAAGGTGCTCATTTCCCAAGTTTGGAACGCCATCATCATCTCCATGTACCGTGAGCATCTGCTGGCGATTGATCACGTCCAGAAGTTGCTTTACCACCAGGTTCCCTCCGAACAGGAGGGCAAGCGTACCCTGCGGGCTCCTACCTTCTTCGTTTCGCAGGAAGACCAGTCCTTCAAGACTGAGTTCTTCCCCGCGGGTAGTGAGGCTGAGCGCCGTATCTCCTTCTTTGCCCAGTCGGTCGCTACCCCCATGCCTGAGCCTCTTCCGGTTGACAACATGCCCACTTTCACTGTCCTTATCCCCCATTACGGAGAGAAGATTCTGCTGTCGTTGCGTGAAATCATTCGTGAGGATGAGCCGTACTCTCGCGTTACTCTCCTGGAATACCTGAAACAGCTCCACCCCCACGAGTGGGACTGCTTCGTCAAGGACACAAAGATTCTGGCTGATGAGACCTCACAACTCAACGGCGAACCCGAGAAGAACGAGAAGGATGCGCAGAAGAGCAAGATCGACGACCTTCCCTTCTATTGCATCGGTTTCAAGTCTGCCGCTCCCGAATACACGCTCCGTACCCGTATCTGGTCCTCTCTGCGCTCTCAGACCCTGTACAGAACCATTTCCGGTTTCATGAACTACAGCAGGGCCATCAAGCTCCTTTACCGTGTCGAAAACCCCGAGGTCGTCCAGATGTTTGGTGGTAACTCCGAGAAGCTCGAACGTGAGCTTGAAAGGATGGCGCGCCGCAAGTTCAAGATCTGTGTCTCAATGCAACGTTACGCCAAGTTCAACAAGGAAGAGCGTGAAAACACCGAGTTCCTTCTCCGTGCCTACCCTGATCTCCAAATCGCTTACCTTGACGAGGAACCCCCTGCCAATGAGGGTGAGGAGCCCCGCTTGTACTCGGCTTTGATTGATGGACACTGTGAGCTCCTCGACAACGGAATGCGCAAGCCGAAGTTCAGAATTCAGCTCTCCGGAAACCCTATCCTGGGTGACGGCAAGTCCGATAACCAGAACCACTCTATCATCTTCTACCGCGGTGAATACATCCAGGTCATTGACGCTAACCAGGATAACTACCTGGAGGAGTGTCTCAAGATCCGTAGCGTTCTGGCTGAGTTCGAAGAACTTACCACCGACAATGTCTCGCCCTACACTCCTGGTATTGCCACCGAAGCTGAGACCCCAGTCGCCATTCTCGGTGCTCGTGAATACATTTTCTCTGAGAATGTTGGTGTTCTTGGTGACGTTGCTGCCAGTAAGGAACAGACGTTCGGTACCCTGTTTGCTCGTACCCTTGCGCAGATTGGTGGAAAGCTGCATTATGGTCACCCTGATTTCCTAAACGGTATCTTCATGACGACGCGTGGTGGTATCTCCAAGGCTCAGAAGGGTCTCCACCTGAACGAGGATATTTATGCTGGTATGACTGCTTTGTGCCGTGGTGGACGCATCAAGCATTGCGAGTACTTCCAGTGTGGTAAGGGTCGTGATTTGGGTTTCGGCTCCATTCTGAACTTCACAACCAAGATTGGTACTGGTATGGGTGAGCAGATGCTGTCCAGAGAGTACTACTATCTCGGAACACAGCTGCCCCTCGATCGCTTCCTGTCTTTCTACTATGCTCACCCTGGTTTCCATCTTAACAACATGTTCATTATGTTGTCTGTGCAGATGTTCATGATCGTTCTGATCAACCTTGGTGCTCTGAAGCATGAGACTATTACATGCCGTTACAACTCGAACCTGCCCATTACTGACCCTCTGCGTCCCACGTACTGTGCTGATCTTACCCCCATTATCGCCTGGGTGAACCGTTGCGTCGTTTCCATCTTCATTGTGTTCTTCATCTCCTTCGTTCCCCTGGCCGTCCAGGAATTGACTGAGAGGGGTCTTTGGCGCATGGCTACTCGTCTGGCCAAGCACTTTGGTTCCTTCTCCTTCATGTTCGAGGTGTTTGTCTGCCAAATCTACGCCAATGCTGTTCACCAGAACCTTTCCTTCGGCGGTGCTCGCTACATCGGTACTGGACGTGGTTTCGCTACGGCTCGTATCCCATTCGGTGTCTTGTACTCCCGTTTCGCTGGACCATCCATCTATGCCGGTTCTCGTTTGCTGCTCATGCTTCTGTTTGCGACATCCACTGTCTGGACACCAGCCCTGATCTGGTTCTGGGTTTCTCTGCTTGCTCTCTGCATTTCCCCCTTCCTGTTCAACCCCCACCAGTTTGCTTGGCACGATTTCTTTATCGACTACCGCGATTACATCAGATGGCTGTCCCGTGGTAACTCTCGCTCGCACGCTTCGTCCTGGATCGCCTTCTGCCGCCTGTCTCGTACCCGTCTCACTGGTTACAAGCGCAAGCTTCTTGGTGTTCCTTCGGAGAAGGGATCTGGCGATGTTCCCAGGGCCAAGTTCACGAACATTTTCTTTAGTGAGATCATTGCCCCTCTCGTCCAAGTTGCTGTGACTTTGGTTCCTTACCTCTACATCAACTCGAGAACTGGTATCTCCAATGACAACGAGCGGGCGTCAAATGCCGTGGTTCGTATTGCCATCGTCGCCTTCGGTCCCATCGGTGTTAACGCCGGTGTCTCGGGTATGTTCTTCGGTATGGCTTGCTGTATGGGTCCCATCTTTGGCATGTGCTGCAAGAAGTTTGGTGCAGTCCTCGCTGCTATCGCTCACGCCATCGCGGTTATTATCCTGCTTGTCATTTTCGAGGTCATGTTCTTCCTTGAGAGCTGGTCCTGGCCTCGCATGGTCCTGGGAATGATTTCTGCCGCTGCAATTCAGCGCTTCATCTACAAGCTGATCATCTCCCTCGCCCTGACCAGAGAATTCAAGCATGACCAGTCGAACATCGCTTGGTGGACCGGAAAATGGTACAACATGGGTTGGCACTCGCTTTCCCAGCCTGGCAGAGAATTCCTGTGCAAGATTACCGAGCTTGGATACTTCTCTGCCGACTTTGTCCTGGGCCATATTCTCCTCTTTGTCATGCTTCCTGCTCTCTGCATCCCCTATGTTGACAAGTTCCACTCCGTTATCCTCTTCTGGCTGAGGCCTAGGTACGTTCAAATCCCACTGGACTCCATCTTATCTGAGCTTTACTAACGTATCAACAGTCGTCAAATTCGCCCTCCCATCTACTCTCTGAAGCAGTCTAAGCTCCGCAAGAGAAGAGTTGTCCGATTTGCGATTCTGTATTTCACTATGCTGGTTCTGTTCCTCATCCTTCTCATTGCTCCTCTGGTTGCCCGGGATGAAGGCATCAGCGTGAACCTCAACATCATGAGCCTTATGCAGCCTCTGGATACCGACAATAACGATACCATCTCCAGTTACACTGGTAATGGTCTCCCTGTCGGTTACTCTGCCTGGACCCCGTCCGCGGCGTCTGCATCTGCTTAGAGGTTGTTTTTGTCCTAAATTGTTTTTTTCAATACATTTTACCTGTCTTTCTTTTTCGGAAATGGAACATGGAAACGAGCTGTATAAAGTAACCAGCGCCTTGATGTCGCTGCCGAGTCTCATACATTTGCCTTTTATTTTTCTTTTTTTCGTCCCACCCTTCTTCCATTGAACGAAACTGCGTGTATGCTCCTTCAGTTGCCAACATTAATGGGTCCAATCTCTTTCAACTGTTTTGTATTGTCAAGGTGTTGTTCTGTCTTTTATGTATGGTCACTAGACTTGCCAGCTTTTCTTGTATCGTCCCATTGCATCCGGCTGCCTTTGATTTCCTTGGTGTTTATCTAGAAGGCTCCTTTGCCTGTAGTCGTGTGGACTATCAATTCAAAGAGTCTTGAGAGTTACTGATTTCCTAAAGCCGTAGTTCAACGCCACTTCTACGTAAACATTTAGTCCAGGACCTTCACTGCAAACATCGTACTCTCGGAATATATGCATATTAAGGGCCTGTTCGATGCCTACGGCTTCATACCCTTTGTGAGACGGGCCGACCTGCAAGGAGCGCCAAGTCACGTGTTAGGGCCGCGCCCATCCCGGAAGTTGGACTTGCCGTCTTGCTTCGATCCTCCGGGAATGCCGCTGCCTTGACTTATTATTCAATCGCTGATGCTGTCGATTCGTTTATAGAGGGTCTCTCTTTCATTTAATATTAGATTCTGCTTCTTTGCTTCCTGGGTACTTGCGCCGCGAGCGCTAAGTGGATTTTCTTCCGTCATGGATATCCAGGAGACTCAGCGTCTCCTTTCGGAGTACCTCCATGAACTCGCAGACCTCTTTCATCGTCTACCCGGTTCAGCGATCTTCCTACGTTATGTGAAGTCTAGTTACCAAAATGATCCTATCCGCTCAGCTGTCGAGCTCTTCCTCTTCTTGTTTGCGGTCCGGTATCTCCTCGCTCCGAAGTATTCGACTAAACCGGGTGTGGTTCAACTTTCCGAGGATGAGGTCGATGATCTCGTGGATGAGTGGACTCCGGAGCCGTTGGTGGGGAAGCCTACTCCGTTGGAGGCGATGGAGGTCGATAAGCGAACGGTCATTGTTGGGTATGTATTGTCTTTCCTGGATTGCTTCTTGTGTGAGACGGTAGGCTGACTGTTGGTGACTTGCAGCCCAGTTGGACCCAAGTCTAAGTTGAGCAACGGTCGCACAGTCGTCAATCTCGGTTCCTATAATTATTACAACTTCAATACGAACGAGTCGCTCAAGGAGAAGGCCATCCAGACTCTGCGGAATTATGGTGTCGGTCCTTGCGGTCCCCGCGGTTTCTATGGTACTCAGGATGTTCATATGAAGACGGAGGCTGATGTTGCCTCCTACCTTGGTACCGCATCCTGTATTATCTATGCGCAGGCCTTTTCGACGATCTCTAGTGTCATTCCTGCGTTCTCGAAGCGTGGCGATATCATTGTTGCGGACAAGGGTGTTAGCTTCGCTATTCGCAAGGGTATCCAGATCTCTCGCAGCATTGTTCGCTGGTATGAGCATAATGATATGGAAGACTTGGAGAGAGTCCTCGCAAAGGTTACCAAGGAACAAGCCAGGAAGCCCCTTACTAGGCGGTTCATTATCACCGAAGGTCTGTTTGAATCTTACGGCGACATGGTGGATTTGCCCAAGATTGTGAGTCCCTTATCCTGATCATTGTTTCTCCGTGCTTCGGACTGACTACTTTTGAAGATCGAGCTTAAGCTGAAGTACAAATTCCGCCTGATCCTCGACGAGACTTGGTCCTTTGGCGTTCTTGGGCGAACTGGCCGTGGCGTGACTGAGCACCAGAACGTTGATGCGGCAGAAGTTGATATGATTGTGGGCTCGCTGGCCGGCCCACTGATTGCAGGAGGAGGCTTCTGCGCTGGCTCGGAAGAGATCGTCCATCATCAGCGTATCTCGGCTGCTGCTTATACCTTCTCCGCCGCACTCCCCGCTCTTTTGTCTACTACTGCTAGTGCTACGATCAATCTCCTTCAGACTAGCCCCGAGACTGTGACGCAGCTGCGGGAGCATACCAAGGCCATGTGGGCGCAGTTGGACCCTCGCAGTGATTGGGTTTATTGCACCAGTTCCCCCGAGAATCCTATGATGATTCTGGTCCTTAAGCCCGAGGTTGTTGCTGCGAAGAAGCTGTCACTGGACGACCAGCAATTCTTGCTGCAAGATATTGTTGACGAGGTAAGTCTTTGGCAAAATTGGCATACATTGAAAAATAACTGACAGTTATGGAATACAGTGTCTCGCAAACGGTGTCCTCATCAGTCGCCTGAAGACTCTCCAGGATAACTTTGAGCCCAAGCAGATTGTTCCCCCTGCCTTGAAGGTTTGCGTGACAATCGGATTGACGAGAAAGGAGATTGAAAAAGCAGGAACCACCATCCGCCATGCGATTACGAAAGTTCTAAGCAAGAGGAAGTAAAAGATTCCCTTTCCCTTTCATTCTCGTATTTCAATTCCCGGCCTATCCTGAGAAGTGGCCATGAACATTAATGCTCCAATGACACGCCTGTTGTACACTCTTTTTCTTTCATTCGCGCCTGTTGCCCTTTCTGTTGGTGATATAGCGCACCATCCTACACATTTCTTGTATAACATATTACACCGTGGATTGATGCGACCTAGATGCGTTTCTTGAGACGTGATATGAGGTTGTTGACGCCTCGTGTCTCTATTTTTACTGTGCAGATATTCTTATTTGCCCATATCAGCCTTTATTTCTTTGCGTGCTTGGGCACAGTGGACATTAATAGACATTACATTCTAATAATAATTTTGTGTTCTTGTCCAATCAATGCTTTCTGATTAACCTGTGTCTTGGATTTCGACGCGACGAAAGGGATGTACAGGGATATCCGCTTCACTGATGGGTCGAGTCATGATAGGGGAAGGGCACCAGCCTCGGGCTCTGGAAAGCACCAAGGGGCCACAGTTTGCACCTTGAAATCTGTCGGGCTTTCGATTTTGTGGCGAATGGTCAGGTCGAGGCCGTGGCGCATTCTCAAGACCAAGGGATCTGCGCAGATACGAAATTAACATTCCATCGAAAACAAGCCCAGTTAAACATTTGTTTTCCTAGAAGCAGAATAGCGGCACTCCCCTGTCTTCACTCATGGCGCTCCAGAATGAAGGGCAGGAGTCTTCACTCTAGGCCAGAGTGAAGCTCCAGGAGATGCGCTTGGCTGAACGGCGTCTTTGAACAGAATCCGTGTTTTTGCTCTGTGCCTGACTGTTCTTTCCTCTTGCCCTTGACGGTAGGATTTCTTCTCAAATCCCCACGTGGATTGAACCTTGAGAAACCGGTCACAAAGTCAAGTTTGTCAAGTTTACGTTACACCAGCAATGAAACGCCTCATGTACCTCCTCGTTGTGTTGCTGCTCAGCTATGTTGTCTGCGCACTTCCCTATGGTGCGTCAACCTAAGATTACAAGTGTCTAACCTACCGATTGACCGAGATTGTAGACGACCATGGCAAAAAGCGCGATCTTGGTCCACTGAGTGATCTCCCAGGAGGTGATGTGATTGTATGGGTGGACCAGGCTGGAAATGCTCTTGCCAACAACGTCGTGGGCGGCGGCAATTCAGACCCAACTGCGACAGCAGACAATGTGAGTGCCACCCAAAAAGCACCGCTCCAGAGATAAAGTTAGGGTTCGGACTAACAGAATAGTCGCCTACAACCCTTCCACCAATATTATCGACTCTCGATGGAGATCTGGATCTCTCTCCCGCCGTCCCACTCCCTGCATCTACCAACCTTCCAAAGACCGGGAATTACCGTCGCTTTGGCATCTCCTACTCTCCGTATAACAATGATGGCTCCTGCAAGTCCCAAGACCAAGTCGACGAAGACCTGGACAAGCTGGCGCAATACGGGTTTGTCCGGATCTACGGCGTAGACTGTGACCAGACGAACAAGGTTACCAAAGCAGCGCGACAACGCAACCTGAAAGTTTTCGCCGGTGTTTTCGACTTGCAGAATTTCCCATCCAGTCTTGACTACATCACCGGGGCTGCAAATGGGGACTGGTCCGTCTTTCACACCATCAATATCGGCAACGAACTGGTCAACGATGGTAAGAACTCGGCTGCCGATGTCGTAAACGCAGTGAATACAGCACGCAGCAAGCTCCGCGCGGCAGGGTACCAAGGGCCCGTGGTAACGGTGGATGCATTCTCAGTCATGATCCAACACCCCGAGCTCTGCCAAGCGTCTGATTACTGTGCTGCCAACTGCCATGCCTTCTTCGACAACAACAACACCCCTGATAAAGCCGGCCAGTACGTCAAAGACCAAGCCAACAAGGTCTCCAAAGCGGCCCGCGGCAAAAAGACGCTCATTAGCGAGTCAGGATGGCCGCACAACGGTCAACCCAATGGCAAGGCTGTGCCGTCTTCGCTGAACCAGCAAAAGGCGATTGCCAGCTTGCAGCAGACGTTCACTGGCGAGGATGAGTTGGTTCTCTTTACTGCCTTTGATGATCTGTGGAAGCAAGACTCCTCTGGTACATTTGGAGCGGAGAAGTTCTGGGGCATCCAGAAACACTGACCTACATCCTGCTCCACTACGTCCATCAGGTATTGGACGGCCGGATCACCACTATGGGGTAATGCTTCTGGCATTCTATACATAGATATGATATGCTTTCGGAATTTGATCGCGCCGGTCGTGATTGTTTTCTTGGAGTTGGAGAGAGCATGTCAGTTGGCTTACCCACGTGGATGATATGCGATTGTTGTCTTTTCTTCTACTTGTTATGTTACGTTATGTTGTTCTTCTTCTGTCCATCTACACAAGTCTTGTGAATAATTGGTTATGTATCACACAGTCTCTTGTGCATATCTGACAGTACTTTGAAAATTGGATGACTTTGGGAGTCAGTCATCTTCTATTGCTAAACATCGTACCGACTTCAATCATATCATTCAACAATCCTATGATGCTATGCAACCTCTATCAATTACAACGCATCACTACCTACCTACCTCCCAAATTAACACCCTACCTTCCCTTATCGACATCGCCTGTATGTATATCTCCAAACCACAACCTGCAAATGAACTAGTAATAGGTGGATGACTGGATCCCGTCGTCGTCATCAAATACGTACGTCCGTAACTTCTCAGCTCGGGAGCCTCCACCCGAAGGAAACTAACTAACGAAACCCGCTAGGAAAAAAAACAAGATCCAGACTAGACCCGATCTCGGTAAGGCTTCCCACACAACGCCGTTTGGCACAAAAAGTACTACTTTGGTTTGCAAGGTCCGAGAATGGGGCTAGTGCTGGAACTACTTAGTACTTACCCACTGGGTTAGTTAGTTGTTTAGGTGTATTTTTTTTAGTCTTGTATTTTGTGTTTGTGTTTTTGTACGTATTCTATGTTTTGTGGCTTTTGGTTTTGGTAATGGTAATGGTAATGGTATCGGTGTTGGGTTTGGTTTTGGGCTGGTTGGGGTATAGTTAGCTGGCTGGTTGGCTGGTTCGCTGGCTAGTAAGTTGGAGGGAGTCTGCTATCCATCCATTTATCTATTTACTATGAAGTTAGGGGAAGATTGGTGGATGTTTAGTAATGGTTGAACTACTGGCTAGCTCGCTTGAGATTAACTAGTCAGTTAACTTTGTTCTCCTGTCTTAAGATACCAGATCAATTTGATTATTGGGTTGGTTGTATGCCTGAGAAAGTAGAGCAATAGAAGTAGTCAATTAGATGCGCTGAATATGCAGATGCATGCAGATTATAGATAGTTAGATGAAATGGTTATGCTATGCTATGATGCTATGATGTATTATGCTATTCCCAGACAAAATCCCCTGTGCAGCCAGCTAGGCAGCTAGCTACTCCAGACTAACGTTCTGCACCGCTTCCTCGACACTCACGGTAGCGCTGGACTTGGGTTCGCTATCTGTATGGCTATTCTGCTGGACATTGTCCAGATGCCCCGCCGGTAAATCTGGCGCCGGAGTGGGTTTATACGTCAATTCAGCCGGGCCGTTCCTCGTGCGGCCGCGGCGACGGGTTTTAGGGGGCTCGGGTTTCTGGGTATGTTTCTGAGGAGCAGGGGTGGCGGTTGGCGGGGTAGGTGATGGTGCGGTGGTGGATGTGCTGGGGCTGTGCTGCTGCTGTTGCTGCGCAAGTCGTGAAGGACTGGCAAGCGGGGTGCAGTGGCTCGTGACTGGGACAGGAAGGTGACCTACTCCTCCATGACCTGCGTGAAGGTGGGGGACTGTTGAGCGTCGGGGTGGAGGAACAGCCGGGGGTGGATTGGAGGCTGAGCGGCGCGAGTGACTGGGGACAGGGGGCGGAACTATGGCGGTGGAATTTGCGCGCTCGATGGCGCTGTTGGTGGCGACGAGACTTGCGGGTGGGATGATTAGACTTGTGTGTTGAGATTCGGCGTCTTCGGGGATCTTGTCAGTTTGTCCGTGCTCGTCGTCTCGCCGGCCGCGCCAACGTCTTGCCCTCGGAGGCAGAGGCTTGACTTTGGGCTTGCCCAACAACTTTGATGGACTCGTTGGGCTATCAGTGGCAGCACGGGCATCGTTGCGGCTGGGTGTCATGATGCCAGGTTTCACGTGCTGGGATGCTACTTCTTGGACGCTGAGGCTGGAGGATGACGCGGGCTCGAGGTGCATGCCGAGTTGTTGCACTTGGCTGAGCCTGTGATGCGCAGCCATGCTCGATGTACTGGAGTCCGGACCGTCTAGTCTAGTGGGCGACATGTTCTCGGGAGAGCTGTCGACCGTGCTCGTGGGGGAGAGGGTCCGAGAGGATTCCAATGGTGCCCCGAATTCAGCATCAGGAGGTACACTATCTGTGGGCGTGGCAACTTCATCATGGACTGGTTTTTCTGGTTCAGGGTCTCGTAGCCATTCCACGGTTGCGCATCGAAGAACCAGCCTTCGAGTAGTCTCGTCCACGTCGTCGAAGTGCATTATCTTCTCCCGGTCAGGCCCACTATCGGAGAGCTGACCGTGAACGAGTAGTCTAAGCACCCGCTTGAGCTCATCCCGCTTATAGAAGGGTGGGTATTTCAGCTGCGTATGTGCCAGTAGGGGATAGAGAACACGCAAATATGTGTGTCGGAGAGCGGACGCCTCTTCCGGCAGGTCCAAGAGGTTTCGAATGAGGATGTCGACAAGAACGTGTAGGTCATTGGTGAAAAAGTATTCGTAGGTGGTCGGGGTGGTGAAAATGAGGTATAAGAGCTTGAGTGTCAGAAGCTGGAGCGATGTCTCGGCTGCAAGAGTTAGAATCTTCCACCTCATCGCGCTAGGGACTACTAACCTTCACGATTAATTAGAAGGATAATATTCTCGCCAAAAGTCTTGTATAGATTGCCGTGCATCGCCAAGATCTTGATAATCTTGTTTGTCAAGCCATTCGACGTATGCTCATCGACCGGATCATGCGCGGAAATCATGAACTGTTCGTTCAGAACCAGCTGAGCATATCGTTAGCACACCATCAGTAACTCTGAAAGATAAAACCACTCACCAGCACACGAATAACCGGATAATGATAAGGATCATTGACATCGTACGAGAGATCCTCAATGATATCAAAGAGGCCCTTGACGAATTCGTCATCCACGAGAACTGCCACCCTTCAGTCAACAAAACAAACCAGACCACTGGACCAATATAGCCAAGGCACAACGCACCCAAATCCTCAATCTTGACCCTCTGAATCCTCGACATTTCATACATCAAATCCATCAGCAATCGATGTAACCCCGCAGGCACCTCCTCTTTCTCCTTTCTATTCCGCGCCTGCAGAAGCTCCAACAACCTGGGGAACAGGCCCTCCTCGTTCATCATCCGAAACGCCACGTCATGCTGTCGACCGTCGAAGAGCAGAAAGGATACGATGAGGTGAAGAGTCGCAGGGTCGTCATCCTAACCAAACCACCAGTAAGTCAGACAGACATATCCACACCATCCATAGGGAAGTAAGAAGCACAAACCTGCAACAACCCATAAACCATCTGCCTCCGCACATAATCGGTATGAGCGACAAAGATATTCGACGCAAGCAATTTATACGAGCACCTCGTAACATCTAACTCGGACTGAAGATATTCATCTGCCCATACACCCAACTAGTCAGCTTCCCCCCCATTCCACACCTACACACAGCACAGAATATAGCAAGGGTTACCTTTATATTTCGTGGCCAGACCCAAGTAAGACCTCAGCGCATTATCGATATGATCTTCGGTGGAGCAAGGGGAGGAAACAATGTCTTGGATCTCGTCCCAGAATTGCTGCTCGTTCTCTAGAGAGACCTCAAAGTCCATTTCCCGGTGTTGCTGCTGCTGCTACTGCTGCTGGTTGATCGTCCTCGTCGTCGGGAATGTCGTCGTGTGGGTGCTTCCCTGCACTCATCCCGCCCGCCTTGCGCCTGGAGCTGAGTTGCGAGGAGGGGTGGTGCACTGCTCCGGGAGGGGAAGGGAGAAAGAGAAAGGGCGTGGAGTGGTGTTGTGTGTTGATGTGTGTGGTGGTGTGGTGCGAGCAACAAGAAGGTAAAGTATGGGATGGAAGTTGGCCAAGTCAACTCGGGCGGCGGGGGATTGGCGGGCGATCCACCGGTATTTTTCTGGTCGGGGAAACAGGAGACTATGTACTAAGGGGCCGTACGTCATTCATCAGCACTAAATCGCGAGCTAGTTTTCTTGTTAACGAAATATTGTCTGAAGTCATTATGCTTGTCATGACACCATGAAGGTGTAGATGCAGAGGTTTCAATGATTTTTATCTATGGGAAGAGTGAATTTGTCAATATAGAAACCGAAGTGACTTCTCCGGTCCCCTGATTAATTTGTTTACAGCCACTAGTTAAGTACGTAGTCTATACAACAACAACATCCTCCCAGCGCCGGTCGCCGGGTTCATTACAGATCGCCTGATATCAGCCTCTTATTCCCAAGCCAGCTAGAGAAATAACGAAAGCATCACGCAAGAGAGAGAAATCGGGGAAGATGAAGGGACAAAAAAAGGGTGACGATTAAAGAAGAGGGTCAATCAACTCATGTGCTCGGGGACGTGGTATCTGTACTTTTCCAAACAAACGCAACAAGAAAAACAGCAATATCGACGTAGACTGCACATGCACATGCATACAAAGCCATAGAGAGCATTAGGGTTACTGCGGGCGCTTGAATGGGTGCGCTTCGGTGTTTCTGCGGTCAAGGGTCAGTCTCCAGTTTGCAGTTTGCGTCTAAGGCCAGCTTTTCACTTACAGCACATATTCGTCCAAACTCACCACGCTCGGGTCGCTGAACAACAGGTAGAAGTACTTGAGCGTCTCCGCCAGCCAGAAGGACTGCATTTCGTCCGTCGGCTTGGGAGTCTGGACCGTCACGTCTTCAATGGCCGAATTGGCCAGCTCCGTCCGCGTGTGCTTAGACACCGCCTCGAACATCTCCCAGCCCTTCTCGCGCCAGTACTCGTCGCCCGTGAGGCGGTACATGATGAACACGGACTCGATCGCCTCGGGCCGCAAGAGATACTTGCGATCCACCAGACGAGTGACACCAGGTGGCAGCCGCTCGTTCCGAATCCGGGCTGCGACAAATTCCTCGTGCGAGGGGGCCTTCTCCTCCTCGGCATCGTCAACGGGCTCCACCACTTCCTCCTCCTTCTTCTTAATGTCGTCGGGAGGCGTTGCAATGACGTGCCAGTTGCCGCGCTCCCGCTTGGCGTGAGACTTCTTGATCGAGTTGATAGCTTCAGGCTCAGGATCCACGTAGGGCTCGTTGGCCTTGGCTTTCTCCCTTTCTTTCTCCTTCTCTTCTTTGCGTGCTGCTGCCCGAGCCAATCGCTCCTGCATGTTCGGGTCCAGCGCCTTGTAGTAGGCCTCCTCGTTCCATTCGCACTTTTCGCCCTGCTTGCAAGGAAGCAAGGAGAAGTGCTCGGGCATGATCCCAGTCTTGGTGGACTCGTACGCCCACACGCAGCCATCGGTCAACTTGGACGCCAGATCCATGTCACCTTCAAGACCAAACAATTTCGCACCGATACCAACCATGCCACCCACGAAGCAGGATAGATGATCGCCATCATATGTCACCTTCGTACGACCAGGCTGCTTGGGCACCGTCATGGTGCTCAAGAATCGAACGTCGCGACCGCCCTTGATCATGGGCTGGAAGAGGAGCCGTTCTTTGGTGGCCTTGATGGCCTTTTCGTACATGGTGCGGTACTGGTCGTTGAGACCACCCAGCAGCATATACTCCTTGGGCAGGTACTCATACGTCGAGTCAGCAAGAGCGCCCAATCCGTACTTCTCGCTTTCCGAGGCGGGGCTGGTCAATCCTTCATGGCACTGCGCGTCGGGGGTCTGCTTATCGAAGGAAGCGCGGTACTCGCTCTCTGAGCTAGGGTAGTTTTGACGCGAGACTCCACCGTAGTCAGCCGGTTGGGCATCCTCGTGCAGCGATCTTGCATCATGGGGCACCAAAAACTCGGTGTAGCTCTGGGCGTCTGTTGGAGCAGGCCTGGTGGTGTGAGGCTTAGTGGGAGCAGTGCTGGTGGGTGATTCTGCTGGCACTTTGCCGCGAGGAACCTCATGATCGATGTGCGTGGGGGTCTTCTTGCATCCAGACGCGTCGATCTTCATTGGCCACAAGCCAGGAAGCTGCGTGTTGTCCTGATATTCCTCGAGCGCATTAGTGATGCGCGCAATAGCGTCGTAGTATTTGTTTTCCTTGGTCAACTGTGCCAGGCGGGTGAATTCCACCGAAAGAGAGCCGAGCTCAGCCAGCACAGCCTTCTTATCCGCGCGATGAGGTTGCACTGTATAAAGCCTGCATAGCAAGTAGGTCAGCTATCCATGATCCCAATATATAGCGCCAGGGGAAAAAAAGAACTTACGGGGCCCATTTGTAAAAGAGGGTTGGCATGCGGTTCGGAGTGTCAAAAGCGCCCATGATGATCTCAGCGAGCTCTACAGCTTTCTCCAGAAGCACATCGTACTTGTGTCCCGAGATATCGTATGCACCAAGCAGACCTCCCATATAACGGATGACCGTCTCGAAGACCGGAATGTCCTTCTTCTTGGAGGTGGTGAAGTCAATAGTCTTGATGTAGTCGACCGCAAGGGAGAACTCCTCCTTCAGGCCCATGAGCCAAAGGGTATCCAAGCCGTCCACGAGAGTAGCTCCCCAGCCATTGAACGGATCGCGATATCCACCCCGAAGAGGCATAACTTCATCGTGGCCCATGGCGGAAGTCTTGTAGCCAGTCCAAGCGTGTTCGAAAGTGGACCTGATCGTAGATAGCCTCTCGAGACGCTTCATCTTGTCGGCGGATGATTCATCTTTGAAATCTGCCTGCAGTTTAGGGAGCGCCTTGGACTGACCGGCCGGCAGCTGGATCAAGTCCTCGGGAGCGAGAGGATACTGCTCGGGCATCTTCTTCCAATGAGGGTGTGGCCAGGTGGACTCGGGAGCGTCCACCACTGAATCCCCTTTACTTTGAGAGCCCAATTGGGACTGGGCCGGACCAGACTCGGCCTCATTCTTGTTCTCCGAGGCTGTTGCATCGCTCGATGGGTTGGACACTTCCGCGGAGGTCGACGGGCGAGCATCAGATAAGGTTTCGGTAGAAGGCTCTTTCGCTTCGTCGGCGGAATGCGGATCGGAACTCTCAGGGGAAGACGGAGGAGGGGACGGAGGGGCATTTATGGGAGCAGAGTCCTTGGGGATGGTCTCGTCAGCGGGGGGAGGATTTGGCGAGAAAGATGCAGGATGGCGATCAACGGGTGGCGGCGCACTCCAGGCAGAGGGAGCCTGTTCTCGAGATCGAGCGAAATGGATGAAGGCGAGCACAAAGATGGTCGCAAAGACCAGGAGAACCCGGTACCGTCGGGCTCGAAACATGGTAAACGAATGTGACCGAGAAGGTAGTAACACAAGACTCGGAAAAACGAAAGGCAAGAAATCCCCCAAGCGGAAGGAAAGTCAAATGGAAAGAATAATATAAATGGCCCCCAAGAAGAGGAGGTATTGAGAGGGGGAGTGCGGGTTATACGAGGGAGGAGGGACACCGCTAAGGATCACGAGATCCCAAGGGAGTCAAGTTCCTGCAAGCCGCGGGACAAGACTTCGGGTAAAACGAATGGAGGACTCCCAATCAATGAGGAGTGGATTATAAGAATTGAGGAGGGTCTGATTCTCTAACGACAGACTGGGCTGAGATCCAGCATGCAAAAAAAAGGTGGACCAAACGAGTGGAAAGAGAATGAATCAATCAGGAGGTGGGTGAATGGCGGAGAGTTGACCTGTTTTAGGTCATGATTGATTTCGGAGGGGAGGGTTAGAGAGAAAGAAGGAAGTGAGATGTGAGAGAGTGTGGGTTGAGGATGGATGAATTGGGAATGACAACCTGCAGCCCTGACCGGAAAGGGAAAGTATCAGGTGAGAAAAGGGAAAGAAAGGGTAAAAAGGGAAGAAGTAAGAAAAGAGGAGAAAGGAAGAAGAGGACGAGTCTAAAGGTGGTGGGAAAGTAAAAAGCACCAACTAAACACCTGCACGACAGGAAGAGAGAGAGAGTGAGTAGTGAGTGAGAGAGAGCGCGTGAGAGAGAGAGAGAGCGAGAAAGAGGGGAGAGGTAAAAGGCCGACTAGTTTAGTAACTGGAAGGTTTAGACCTCCGCCAGGGACTGGCCAGACCGCGCGGTGCTCCAATAAAATGAATGAATTGAGATTGAAGAGGAACTAAAAGAATGGATGGAAACTCGCCTGAACCGCCTGCGGATGCAACCGCCGCTCACATCCAAGCAGAACCCAGAGCCCGGCCAAGAATCTGGTGGTGCACGCGCGTGGAGCCCAGAGAAGTTATCGCGGTCGGAAATCGCTGGATCAGGAGTCGAGTCACGAACCAAATAGATAGTAGTGGATGTTGCAGTTTGCATTAAACTATCACTTTGTTCACTGCATCATCCATCATCATCCATCATCATCATCGTCCATCTAACATCTAACTGATCCATCCCGGCTGAATAATGGGATAAGGAATGACAATTGACTGCATGCAGCTATCAATGAATGAATGACCGGGGTAAGCAATACTCCGATGCTAGGACTGGAATCCAAGTCAAGACTGTCAATAGTCCAGCGCATTGCACCCAAATAATCCAATAAAAATTCATGATCGAGACCAACAAAAAAAGGAGATCCCCGGATCCGCGACGGAGGGATCAGCAGGGAGATTGGATTGATAGCTGCCGGTCGGTCGGGCGCGCTGGTTCCAGACTTGCAGGGGGGGAAAAGAGGAAAGACTGATGGATGATCGACTGTCAAGAACCGGGTTGGAATGGGAGAGACCATGACTAGTATTATACTATCAACCCACAATCCACTTCATCTTCTTCCACCACGGTTTTGTAAAAGATCATCTCAATGCCTACGTATGTCTCTACGCAACTCGCAGCATGTTTGTACGTATACCACGGGCATTTCATGGTGGCTGTTGCTGCCAACATCGCCAGTCAATAGTCAACACCAACATAAATGCGCGTCGGCTGCAGGGGACGGACGGACTGGATCCTCTTTTTTTTTTCTTTCTTTAGTGCGAGTTGCTAATTATAGCCCGTGATGGACCCCCCGTAATTACCGAGACGGGCGGGGGTTGGATAACACCAACAACCACAAGGAAAGGAAGAATAATGGGTTGCAATTTCCCTCTGGTTCCACGAGTCTATCCATTGATTGAAATCATTCATTCATTCAATTCTTTAATTCATGATGGTGGACAGATTCCACACAACTCTTCCAAAGACTAAACTAATATAACCTTCCTTTCCCTCATCCATGGATACTCGTCCCGGGAAGCCGGAGTTTATCCAGGGGAGGGACTGGATTATCTGAGTAGTCAGGTGACCCTCTAGTCCTAAAGTAGAATCCCATCACATTGTCCGTCACCGTCAGTCTGTTTCTTCCGCCATCCGAACCCAGCCAAGCTAATATTAATTAATATGGCATCTATTCGTGCCGTGAATATCCGACTAGTCTAGAAGCCTTTCTGCGGTCTCCATCACTGAAGAATTTTTGGGGCCCTCTCTCTCTACTCTCCCCTGACTTGTAGGGGCATCGCAGCGGGGACAGCTGTTTCGTATCTGAGGACCCTGAAACGTGCTCTTCTCGGAATCTGAGCGAGCAGACAGACCTTGAAGAGTCTGCGTCGATTAAAGGGAAAAGAGAACACCAGTACCAGGTTGTAAATAAATAAACACACCATATCTGAAAAGTCAAGGGAAAAAGGTTTGGTGCTTGGATGAATCGGGGCAAAGGTCCGGTCAGTCAGTCAGTCAGTGTGACTGACTGACTGACTGACGGACAGACCCTGGTCCTTTACCTTCCATTTAGCCGGGGCTAGACTAGCACTCCATACTATAGATACACTCCGACCAGAGTCAATCAGCTGGACAGAACCATCGTAAACTTTAGTACGTACTACTAACCATTGCTGCAGGTGTGGTCACTAGCTTGGCTTATCCTCCACTCTACATACAGTACCCTTCTCTAACTGCGTATGGCTGCCTTTTCACTAGCTGTCTGGGCTGGTACACCCCAAGGCCTTTCACTGAGTCGAACTTCCCTACTGTAACCATGTGCACAGCAGAGGTGATGGAAACCTCATATCCTGATACAAATTATAATTATATACCAACCGTCGTCCGTCCCCGATTGTCCTGGTTGACTTTCTGAAACTGCTGAATGAGCCCCAGGACACCCCCACCGCCAGCCAGGGTGTCGACATTCTCGCCGCCCTCATCTTCCTCCTCAACCTCATCGCCGACCAGGTTCATCCGCCATGACTCCCCCAAGTTACTGTCACTCGTGCCTATGCCGCCCCCGCTCGACCCGACCCCGGGCGACGATTTAACCGCACTACGACCTTTGCCCGCCGGAGGATCTTCATCTTCAATGGGGTCGGAGATGGTGGGAGGCGGTCGCGAGGCCCTATAGCGCGGATACGGGTTAGCGCGGTGCGTTGACCGGAACCCTGACGCCGACGGCTGATGGTGCGGGTCGAGCAGCATTGATGGTGCCGGGGAGAGATGGTCGCCCATGCCAGCGGGGCCAAACCGAGGAGCGGCGCCGTATGTAGATTGTTGACCCATCAGCCCAGCTGCGGCCGGTCGATCTCCAAAATTGCCCATCTCAATGGCCGATGGAGAACCAAGGGTCGGGAATGTGGGTGGAGGGTGGAATTGCCGCTTGGTTGACGGATGACCACTGCGCGGATTGGCACCATAGTTGTCCAAGAACCCGTAATAAGATGCGAGCATCTTACCATCTTTGGTCGAAAAGTAGTCCGCCCGAAGGTCCTGCCGTGCAGCATCCCGTCGACCCGTATCCCCTTGCGAGATCACGTTGGTACCCTTCTTGAAGTCGAAGACCGCAAAGGAGCAGAGATATCCCATCCCATCGACATGGACGGTGAATTCTCGGAAGAAGTCGATGAGACGGTCACTGCACTTGGGCAGACTGAACCAGAGGATGAACGGCGTGAAGATCATGCTTAGGATCTCCTCCAGGAAGATGACGATCTTCATCTGATACAGCACGGCAAAGTCCTTGCGAACATCGTCGCTATGCAGACGGCCTTTCCAGTGGCCTGGGAAGTAATGAGTGAAGTTGATGACTTCAAGGAGCGCGTATTCGGGATCAAACACATTGGTCTCTTCGGGTACCAAACCCTGCGCGACAGCCCAGATAGAACCGAAGACACCCAAGTAGAAAAGCACGGTCCGGTCGTGAGTGATCTCAAAGCCCAAGAACAGCTCCGGGTCCACCACGGAAGCCAGGGCCAATACCGAGGCCAGTGCCCCAGAGACGAACGCCACGAAACCCGCGAATTGCACCATCTTGTCTTTGGGGAACTGATCCACATAGCGGCTCGCGAAAGGGTAAGACATATTGACACGCCGCTCAAACAGGTGCCATAGCTCGTTGAACTCACGAAACTTCCATTCAGCCAGTGGGGTGTATTGTCGGGATCCGATCTGCGATGGATTCTTCTTGTATTCATTGAAATAGCGGAAGAAATAGTGCATCATGAAATAGACGACAATGAAGGGGGCTACGAAGATATTCATGATGCCTGCGAACATGAAACGCCGTCGCAGGCCTTCACTCAGGGCCCGTCGATGGGTATCTTTCAAGAACAACGTCCGCACTTGGCCCTGCTCGTTGAAGACATAATCCATGATGCAGAGGTTGATATTCCATTCAAGTGTCCGAGAGAACAGTTGCCTGTTTCGCAGGAACGGTATCGGGAGCGTCAGGTCTAGTATATCTTTATTTATCAACGCAATCAGGTAGTTTTCTTTGCGCATCAGTCGGTTCGCGATGTCGTGAGCATCCATGCGCTGCTTGGACTGACTCCCCATGAACTTGCGATGCTTCGCAGAGACCGCACCCGCAGTCGCGGGGTTGGAGTCCCTCAGAGTCATCAATCGGCTGACGACCTCTTGCCAGGAAATTGATTGGATTTCAGCATCCGATATTCCAAGCAAGTAGTGATAAAAGTCATGCATGTGCTTGAGCCTTCTGATATCTAGCAAGTACTGAAAGGCCTTGCCAATCCAGAAAAAAGAAAGCAGCCATAGTAAGAAGGTAGCGGACATGGACATTTGCTTTGTACACTTCTGAATCAGAATGTCGTCCAGAGTTCGACTCCCGCGTACCTTGTGGTAGTCAATGCAGTTTGTGAGGAATATGCTGAATCCTACGACAAATGCAAATGTCCTGAACCCCATGTGTCAGTCAGTCTTGAACATTCAGGCGAACTTAAGCATGGGGAAGGGAGACCTACAGAAGACTCAAAACCCTGTTCAGCAGAATCGACCAAATTCCGTTCCCAAGAAAGTATGTGTAGACTTCCTTCAAAAAGTTGTCCAGATTCTCCACGTTTGCCCACATCCATAGTGCCTTCTCTTTCGGATCTACCAGTGCTAGGTTCGGATATCCCGCTGACCACAGACTTGCATGATGGGCCCGCCTATTGGTGTCATGTAGCGGTAATCGATCGCGGGCTGCTTCCCAGTGGACTCGGTCGTCTCGAGGTGATGGTCTGGGCGGAGGTTCAACATTCGGAGGGTCAATCGATCGGGGCGGAGGTGGGAGCTTCGATCTCAAAACGTCATCGTCATCTTGATCTCCTTCCACGAGGAGTGAGGGAGGAACATCATCATCGCTATCATCGAATTTATGACGCGGTGAAGCTGCATGTATCCGACCAGAGCGACTAAACTTGCGGCGACGAGAACCGGCCTTGAGGAAGCCACCCTCGTCCCTTTTTGTTGGCGGGCTTCGGGGGAGAAACGGTTCGCTCGGACCGGGGGAGTCATCCCTCCCAGCATCTGCTAGAGCATCTTCCAGCTCACGGTCGCTGAACCGGTCCCCATGTTCATCCTCAAACGCCATTCCTGCACGCTCCTCCACGTCCGAAGCGTCCGAATGATTGTCGTGTTGTCGAATCGTCTCATACACTGACGGGGAGCCGTTTGGAGGGAGGAAACGCGATAAGATATTGGAGGTCATCATCTTGGGCTAATATACTAAATAGCAGTAGATAATAGAATCATCAGTTCATTATTAACGGCCATCAAGCCGTGTACGAGGTCACTTCAAGGCCATCCAGCTAGGGTAAACACGATATATAGAGAGAAGCGCTTAGGATGGTTGAGAGTCCGAAAGGGCGGTAGTAGTTCGACAACCTAGAGCGAGGATCGCCTTGATCCGCCTGGAACAGTTCGAAGAGGATCTATAGAGTGAAACAGAGGATCAGTTTGCCTTTGACTTAATCACAAAGTCAAGAAGAAGATGAAAGATGAGACCATCGACCTAGCATTTATCTACTGAAGGAGGGTCGGTTGACTTTGGTCGGTAGGATCAGGAGCAGGGCCCGGGGGAGTTGGAGGAGGAGAGCTGATGACCGCCTCGTGATAAGCTCCGATGATGCAGGCGGTCAGTCAGTCAGTCACATTGATAGCGCTAGTTAAGAGTGCAGACTAGTCCTGCTGCTCCGAAGCGGTAAAGCAAGTTGGTGCTGCCTGAGCCGATCAAATGAAGCCTAAGGCATGAAGGATAGACAATCATGTGATAATGTCTGGAACAACGTTAATGCGGGGATTTCCGAAAAGAGAATGATTACGTGCCGCATATCACATGATAGGATGGCCGAGTCATGGCCGGTGAGTCTCTGACGACACGAGTCAGGCCCAAGTGGGATGCTGGACGGGATGGGCCGCCGATGGGGACCACTGATTGGCTCCAGCGCCAGCAATGCTTGAGCGCCGGTGTGGCTCGTGCGGGGTGGGTTTCCATTCTCGAAGCTCATTCTATTTGCTAGTCTGCCCAGTGCCCGGCAGGGGCTCTTTCCTCTCTGGTCAGTAGTTTAAGAGTCTAGTAACATACGTGGTGCATCGTTGGCCTTTTGCTGCACCTTCCTTTTGTCCCACCCAAAGACAAGCGTTGTCCTCCAGGACTCCCCATCCTCCAGCTGCAGTGAGTTTCGTACGCCAGGTGTCCGTTGGCTGCCTTATATACGGTTCGAAGAAGTCTATGGTTTCCCAAATGATCCACATTTTGGTAAAACGTTCGCTTGGGCGAAGATTGTACCAATGGACATGACTTTGTTCTGCTTCTCCTGCAAACCCAGTGACTCTTTCCCTTTTTGGACTGGTCCTTTGAAGATTGATGTCAATCTATAGATACTATGCTGTGGTTTGTTGTTACTAACGGTGGCCTTTCCTCCCCATCCAGGTCTGTTGTCAATTGGCTGAATCGAAGACACCTGCAACTAAGTACTCCTAAGGCTACCTAGTAGTGGCAATGAATGGTTTAGTTGAGTACTGGGCAATGGTTTGATTAGTGACCGCGGAATGCCGACAACCAACTAGGCCACAATCGCGGCAGATGGCGTTCTGCACACCGTTGACGTGAGCATAGCCATGCGTGGTTAGCCACAAATACCACTATCTACCCTCTACTTACTGCTTTTGGAGCGCACCAGCAGCCATGGCAATATAAATGCAATCTAACGTCGGGTAGTACTACAGGGGAGGGGAGGCGGGAAGGATCCCAGTGGCGATAATTATTAGTGACTCGGATCTGACTGCCGCACCCTGTTTGGGTCTGTTCTGGAAATGGTCTGCCTGATCATTGTACGACTCCCTCTGCCACGGTTTGAATTGTACGACTTCCTCCGGCACCGATAGGAGAGGAAGAGAACTATCTTAAGGTACTGAGTCGATCAGTCAGGTTCCGAAAAGGGAAAAAGAAGGCAAGAACATGCGGAAGTAGAAACAATTGGGGTAGAACAGAAGGAAAAAGCGGGAAAAGAACAAAAAAAAAAAAAAAAGAAATTTACCACTATCGGGCTGGTTGTACATTAGTCTAAAGGTGGTGTGTTCGTGGACCTTTCTGGAAGGTCATGATAATCGACTATCCTTGACCCGCTTCTTCAGCCATCGAACAAAGATACGTACCTCGTACGACTTCCTACATGGGTGATCTATCCCTAGTGTCTAGGCATAGCATAAACTGGGTCATGCAAGTCGGTTCGAGTAGAGCGATCGAGTTCAATTGCACACCGTTCATGGTAGCAAGAGGGTGGGCTGAAAATATTCCCGGCTCAAGGGAAGAAGAGCTTGGCTTGCTTTTAAGCCGGGACTAAATATGACCTCCCTGAAACAACGCCTCATATATGGGCTCGAGTGTATGCAGAGGAGCGTGTTCATAAGGAAGATCATGTTTAATGGCACAAGCTATAATAAAGTCGTGTTATAATCCCGTTGCTTTTGCACCATGCTTCACGTATAGCCAAACTTCAAAGCCAGTCATAATAACCACACTACCTACTACTTAATGAGGAAGAGTGGAAAATAGGAGGTTCAAAGACACGCCTTCCATCATCAAGTGGATCTCAGCCCCAGAGCCTGAACCCAACAGTTTTTTTCTTTTCCGTCGATTTTCCCTTTCTCTTATTTCAGCTTAAATTTTTGTTCATCTTTCCTCAATCCTTAAAGTTTTGTTCTCTTTTTCTTTCTTTTATTATTATTAATTTTTTTTTTTATTCAATCTAAATTCCACTCGTACTATCAGGGTCAATTGACGACTGGACACATTTTTGTTCTTGCCATGTCAAAAATATAAATGAAATAAAGGGGTCAAGATTGCATATAGAATAATCCAAGCAAGTCAACATCAGGCCATTAGTCGTATTTAGTTGGTCGGGGGGAAAGTCCAGAAAGTGGTTCAATGACTCCATAACCGGTGTTGCCAGTACCCCATCAATTCGGAACCCAAAAAATCACCAACGCCTTCGTCCCAGGGAAAAGAAGCAGAAGGACTCGCAGGCCCTGCCTGCCTTTACTCCACGTAGTTCCGTGTCTACTCTATAATCCTCCTCCGCTACTGATATCAGCTATCATCAATCGGAGAGATCACCGGGCGTTTGTCCAATTCCCCTGCATATTCTGGGAGTTAGAAGGGTCTGTCCATTGTCGTATCACCGGCTTTCCCTCTCGACTTGATCCTTTTAGCCTTTCAGTATCCCTGATCTCAAGTGCAACGTGAGCAAAGAGACCACCAAGATCGTGAGTTAGTATTATTATTTTTTCGTTCTTTTGGTTCTATTTGCTCCCCTCCCCCAAAGGCCATCGATACCTGAGTCAGTTACTATTCAGTATCATCATCATCACTATCATCATTATCATCATCATCATCGTCCTCTTTCTTTGGCTTCCTCTTAATCTCCTTCCTCTCTTTGTGCCCTTTTTATTCCACTTACCCGGCCCGCTTCTCTTCAGCTGCACGAAGTTCAACACCGCCTCCCGCTTTCCCTCCGTCGCGGACTGACTCCATCCCTCGCCCTTCTCCCCAGCTGATCATTGACTTTCCACCTTCTCCCTCTTTTTCCCTCTTGTNCCTCGCTTACTTCCACCCACCTTCAACACCACCACTTGCACACCTTCTCCCTAACACTCCCCCGACTAGACCAGACAACCCCCCCGTCTGTCGTACAGAAAATGCATCCATGCTGATGCGGGATCTGCAGCTTTCACAACGCACGTCGTCTGGGTAATTGGCTTCACCAATCCGTCAATCATTCGAACCAATTATCCCACCCTTTTTCCCATCCTCCCTAGTCGTACCTCCCCCTCCCCCCCCCGACTACGGATTGAATTCCCTCTCAAGCAATTCAAAGCAAAGGAGAGGGTATTTTTCTTTCTTTTTTCTCAATCAGAGCCAGATAGGTCAATTCCCAGCGGAATGAAGGTGCGTCTATTCTTTCCCCTCAAGCTTTCTGTGCCAATTTCCAATGATATCACGCCGCGGTTGGTCGAACCAAACCTTTGTGCCGACCGACCTATCCACCGAACTGCTGCTGCCACCAACCCCATTACCACCCATTACCACCCACTGCCTGCCCTGTTGGGTTCTTTCAAACCCGCTTACTCCCATCATCACTTCCTTCCCCACCGAGCTAACATACCCGATGATGGCCTTCTAGCAGCGACATCGCGGCTGTATCTGGACTATTGGAGGGTTGGTTCCTTGCCGCGCCTACTAGCGATTTTCGCCCTGTACTTTTCTCATCCACCACTGCCCTGCGCTTCTCCCGTTCACTCACTGGTCCCCTACTGCCACCGCTGTCATCGTCACGACCGTCGAATCCACCTCCATACCACACCCTTCCCCTGAACGAACAATCGTTTTGCGACCGCCCCCTCTCACCGTTGCTAGCACCCAAAACGCCACGGCCTCGACCGAATGTGCAACTCTAGCTCCCTCCCTCACCCCGGACTCCATGCGTTCAGCTAGCGACCCATTGGACGAAAGAGACCCTCAATTGTTAGAGGACGGTTGCGCAGCGTACGTTGGGTGTCAGCGTGCTGCAAGGTAACAATCCCGCAGTGTATCACCAGTTTATGTGTCTCCGCCCGTTTGCCTGCGTCCCGTGTGCTTTGTAGCGACCTCTCCCGAGTGCCGCTGCTACCGGTTCCGTCGTGCGTGGTTGGAAAGAAAAGATGGAGCCGGAAGGGTCAAGTGGATTCAAACGGAACTCTGTCCATCAGGGAATTTACAGTCGTCCTGTGGAACGGCGGCCCAGCAAGAAGTCTTCCTCCAAGGACCGGCATGGGATGGTTTATCCCGATAGTTTTAGGGACACGGGAATTCGAACAGTCACCCCAGACTCTGAGGCTGGCAACCACTCACCTTCCTCGGAGGCGGAGTATCTCGCATCAAGTGCAGCAGCTTCCCCTCGTCCCGCCACCCGGACAAGAGCCTCCGATCGAGAATCCCGTCGCGATTATCACTCTTACCACTCGGCAGGCGACGAAGAAGATACACATGTGGAGATGAAAAGTCAGCGCGCACGGTCACGGACCACCACCCTAGATGATCAGCGCAGCGAGATCTCCCCTAACACATTTTTCAGAGCCCGGAATCGCCTGGGATCCATCAACACCGCAGTTCCACAACCCAAAACCCCGGACGAGTCGTCATCTATTGGCTATCCGTCGATTCAGTCCCCCACCTATTTCAGTCACTCCCTTGGTCGCCAACGGTCAAGCAAGCCCCCAGGGGGTTCGAGCTTGGTGACGAGTGTATCAGCCAATCAGACCCCCTCCGCGCTGTCGACTACCGATGCGTCCAAGATCCTGCAGCTTATGAAAACGACTTGTGGAAGGATGCACGGCATTCTTTCGTTTCGGACTGCATCAACAACGGCTTGGTCCTCGGGCTACTGCGCCATCAACGTCGCCACGGGCAGTCTAATATATCAAGCCAAGGGAGAGCCCGCACTGGCCAAGACCTTGATTCCTGATCTTCGTGGCTGTCAGGTTCGCTCGCTTGTCGATCCGGAACTACGGACGAATTACCTCAGCGTGTCCACGTTTACTTCAGGGCTAGGTGTCGAGCTAAGGCCCCATGTAAGCGAAACATTCGACTCCTGGCTTGCTGCCTTGCTGTGCTGGCAGCCAATTCGTCCCAAGGGCGTTCAAAACAAAATGACAAAGCCCCAGTCGGTTGCGATTGGTGACCGCCGTTTGGCCGAACGCCGGCGAAACTCGGAGAGTACAGTCCAGAAAGAGGCAGCGATTATCAAGGTTGGCAAGATGCTCTTATGGGACAGGCCTAGTGCTTCCGGTGTTCGACCTTCCTCTGGCCNCCGAGTGTCAACATATCGACAACAAAGAGCTCTTTCCTCGTCGTGGNTGAGGGTCAACTGTACGTTGCAAGAAAACGGCGCCTTCAAGCTGTATACCGAGTCCGATATCACCCTTGTAACGTGCATCCAACTTTCGCAGCTCTCGCGCTGTTCGGTGCAGCAATTACACTACTTCGGTCTTGGAAGATGAATTTTGCGTCGCCATTTATCCTCAATACGCCGTTCACTCTGCATCCGGCATCACTCGACCCGTATATTTAGCCTTGGAAAGTCGAGTCCTGTTCGAGGTATGGTTCGTGCTCCTGCGCGCCTTCACGATACCAGAGCTCTATGGGCCCGAAACCTGTGCAGAAGACGACCCGAAGAGTCCGTCCGATGCCCCTACAGCATCTATGGCAGATATGTTTCGAATCGAGCGAGTGCTCAATGTGAGAGTAACGGAAGCTAAGCTCCTCCGAAACAAAGCTGCCGAGAAAGCTCCTCGAAGCCGGAAGCAGTCGCGGTCACATAGCAATTCAACCCCAACATCTGCCGTGAGCGATTACTACACAGAAGTACTTCTTGATGGGGAAATCCGCGCCAAGACTGCTGTCAAGTACCGCACAGCCAACCCGTTTTGGCGAGAAGACTTTAATTTCAGTGATCTTCCGCCTGTCCTGTCGCAAGTGTCGATTCTAGTAAAGACGGTCAACCCGACACAGAAGGATTGGACACTTATCGCACATGGCTCCTATGGCCAGGACCATAGTAATCCGGCGCGTTTGTTAGACGACGTTGAGCTCTCCTCCCAGGATGCTACGTTCGGCAGGGTCGATTTGAAGCTGGACGATCTACAGCCTGGAGTCGAAACGGAAAAATGGTGGCCGATCCTAGATGACAAAGATCAGCCGGTGGGTGAAATGCTCATGCGAGCCCGAATGGAGGAGACAGTTGTTCTGATGTCGCACGCAGTATACGCCGATGTCGGAAATCCTACATTCGTTCACCAATGGGCTCACGATTAACATGTCTCAAGTCATGTCCTCGGAGCTCAATCAGTTGTCCGAAGCTCTCCTAAATATTTACCAGGTATCAGGCACGACTGTCGAGTGGATTTCAGCATTGGTCGAGGATGAGATTGATGGGCTGCACAAAGAGTCGACAGCAAACAGGCTAAGGTATACAACGAGGATTCATTCCAACGATTCCCGGGAGTCGGGTCAAGAAAGAGAAGTGCTCGTCCGAGACATGGGCCGTACTGCCACCGTTGAGGCAAACCTCCTTTTCCGAGGGAACTCGCTTCTCACCAAGGCGCTCGACTACCACATGCGTCGCCTAGGCAAGGAATACTTGGAAGAAACAATTGGCGAGCGACTTCGCGATATCGATGAAACCGACCCGGAGTGCGAGGTGGACCCTTCCCGTGTACACCGATCGGATGATCTCGACCGCAACTGGAGGAACCTCGTCTCCCTAAGTACAGGGGTCTGGAAATCAATTGCAAGCTCTGCTTCTAGATGCCCGGCTGAATTGAGGCTTATTTTTCGGCATATCCGGGCTTGTGCAGAGGACCGTTATGGCGATTTCCTCCGGTCAGTCACATACAGTAGTGTATCGGGCTTCTTGTTTTTGCGGTTCTTTTGTCCAGCAATCCTGAATCCCAAACTATTTGGATTGCTCAAAGGTATTTGTTCTCCCCTATCACATTTCTCATACATGTCTTCTAATGCGCGCAGATCATCCGCGCCCCCGGGCCCAGCGCACACTGACACTGATCGCCAAGGCCCTGCAAGGCCTGGCCAATATGACCACGTTCGGCAGCAAGGAGCCTTGGATGGAGCCTATGAACAAATTTCTGGTCAGCAACCGCGCCGATTTTAAGCAATTCGTCGATTCCATTTGTGCCATTCCTGCCGACCGTCCCGCGCCTATCGTCACACCCTCCTATGCCACGCCAATACAGATTCTGGGTCGTCTCCCCCCAACATCCCGCGAAGGATTCCCCAGCCTACCCTTCCTCATTGATCACGCGCGAAGCTTTGCCAATCTCATCAGTATATGGCTCGAGATCGCACCGGAGCGCCTGGCGGAATTGGAGGAGATTGACCCAGCAGTCAGCAAATTCCATGAAATGGCCGTTCGTCTCCACCAACGCACCAAGGAATGTTTGAGTAGAGCCGAACAGGCAGAACGTCCAAACGGAGGCCTGGAGGTCAAATGGGAGGAACTGGTTGACGCGATGGAACGGTCGGTGACCTTCTACGAGGACAGTTCCAAGCCTACAAGCCCGGCCACCGAGGCAGCTATTGCAGGGTCGACATCCCTTACAGGCAGCCATCGCAATTCGATCGGTTACTTCGCGTCGAGGCCCTCTCTACCGCGTCGGTCTACCGATTACGCTCCTGAAGCGGACGATGACACGCCTCCCAGTTCCTCTTCGGCCACGTGGGACCAAAGCAGAGTCCCCTTCTCGATACCACGATGGGCAGATCCCAGGGACAGCACCGGCAGTTCGAAGAATTCATCCACATATTCGCTTGAATATCCCGAACCCTCGAAATCGCGCAGATCTAGCATCACTAGAGAGACGACAAGCAAGTACCGGTTCTTCGATTTCGTGCCTCCGTCTCGCCGCAAAGCGAAGGATCGGGAACAGGCTCAAAATTCGCGTGAGGAACAGCGCAACGAGTTATGACGCCCAAGTCGCCTGGGCCATACCTAGGCCTGCTTCGCTCTTGGACTCGTGCATCGCGGGTTGNCATGGCCCATCTGATCATGACGATTCCAGCATCTATTTCCACTTTTGTGGCTCTAGACAAAACCCTTATTTTACCTTCTACGGCTGTCCCGCCTACTCTACACCCCATTGAATGTCATGGGGGAAGTTCTTGTGGAGCGGTGATGCTTGCACATTGCGGGCAGCCATTTCTGTGTACAACATGAGAGCTTGATTTCATGTATTGAGATCCCTGCATCTTCTGGTGTAAATTTTTTCCTGCGATTACATTTCTTCTCCTTGTCTCCGCATGTGCCCATGATTTAACGTTCGTTTCTTCTATCACCTCTTCCGCCGGTTTTATTTTGGAAAGCATTTGTCATGGTGTTGATACCCTGCTCTGATGGCTGTTTTTACGTGGAAAACAAGAGATCCTGTGAGCAGAGTGCCGGATATGATCTTCCATGGATGATGTATGGATTGTAGGCAGCAGGAATGCCCGTCTTAAGGGGATTTTCCTTGCCAGTCTACAATTGCAATTGTTGTGTAAATAGCGTCTACCTTTCCTCTGGGCATAGATGAAATGAGTAACTCCACCTTGTTAGACTTGTACTTGAGTACCGCTTGATGCTGCGCCTGAATATGCGTACTATCAAACAAATTTTATAAACCTCACTCTCTCTAATATCATACAACCCCTGCCTAACGTTCACATCCACAAACAAATCTTCCCACTCGCCGTCCCTCCCGCAACCCAATTCCTACTCCGATGAAAGACAGCCACTGCCGGAACAGCCGTAATGCCCTCCCCGCCCAATTGTGCCAGCTGATCCCCCTCCCCACTATAGATATCCACAAACCGATTCATGTTTCCAATACAGAATCGCTGGATATGCGATTGCGGGTTCTGTTGCCACTGGGGGCGGAGACTATCACCAAACANCATTCCGTTAGCACCTCGCTTTTCTCGAGAAATAACCAGTACAAGAGACCAATCAGGAAGGGGTATACATACATAGTTACCCATCTCCCCGTCTGACAATTATGTCTAACGAACGGTATCAGGCCCCAACTCATCCTCCGAAACTGCATGCCCTACATCCCAGTTCGAAATCCCCTTCTTCTTCAGATCGTATATCTTGAGCGTGTCATCGTACGAAGACGTCGCGATTTGTCCTGCGCTGTTGAATGCTGCGTGCGAGACGGAGAGCCGGCTGTAGTGTTCTCCTACTGGGGTTGGCCCTTCATCTTTCTTACCCCTCTTAGGTTTCTGCAGCATACGCAAATCCCACAGACGCATTGAGCGGTCCAGACTCGCTGTTGCGAAATAGTGCGGTTGCGTGGGGTATAGTGAGAAACCGCCGATTTTCTTACTCGGAGAGTTGCCATGTGTTTACTGTTTCTGCTGTTGGGTCGGTGCGGATGTCGTGCCGGCCAAAGGCCCCGTCCAGCGTTGTCCAATACAGCACGTTGGGATCGTCGAGTGCCATGTCAATGCCGGAGATGGGCTCGTCCGAGGAGGTCGATTCCGGAGCGTATTTCTCCACGCTGGTGGACTTCTCGAGGTCCATGGCGCGGATTGAACTGTCGTAGCTGGCTGTGTACAGGGTCGTCGGTGTGCTGGGGTGGATGTGCATGCTGCTGATTGTCCGGGTGTGGGGTTTTACGGTGGTGAGGACGGGGTCCGGATCTTCGTCGTCGGATTCCTCGTCGTCCTCGGGTTTGATGGAGGTGGGCTTCTCTTGCGAGGCGTCGAGAATGCCTAGGTGGCCCATTTTGTCGCCGGCGAAGATGAGAGGTTTGGATTCTGTCGGGTGGAAAGTCATGGTGTAGACTCGTTCGGGGGTCAATTTAATGCCTGTTATGGAGGTTAGTTAGCCAATGGAAGATGGTAGTAGGGAAAGAAAGAGAGACATACGGTTAGGTTCCCACGCCTCCCAGAGCGTCAATCCATTCATCTCCTTCCTCAGCGCCTTCAGATCCTTATCCGTCGTCTTCTGGATCTCATCATCGCCAAACGTCCTCTGGTACGGTATCGCCACGCCCTTGGTAACTACATCTACTCCGATCAATCCATCCGCAGGCAACTTCTGCCCGTTCACCATAATATCACTGAACGAGAAGTTATCCGACTTGCGAACTCGTTTCGCGCGCTCCGCTTCCTGCCGCGCCTCGTACTCTTCTTCAGCTTTGCGCTTCGCGACTTCGCTTTCCGCCGCGATGCCCCTCAGCCGGGATGACATGCGCCGCGGCTGCGGCGTCTCCTCCTTGACTTTCTTCACAGGAGTCTTCTTTTTCGTCCGCGATTGATCCTTCGCTGCTGGTTTGGGCATCTTCGGCGGAAAAAGCCCAGAGGACTGCGCCTCCATGGTCAGCTTTTTGAGTAGCGCATCGCGTTCGGCGATGTTGGCTAGGCGCTGCTTTTCGAAATCGGAGATTTCGTCGTTGCCCATTTTGATTTCTTTCTCCCTTTTACAGAGGAGGGAGTTTCAAAGCAGAGAGTGTTGCTGATCTGCAATGAACTGCTGTATGGCGCAGATGGATGACTTTTGCTCACGCGGATCAGAGGCGCGTTCGGAGCGCCGCGTAGTCACGTGGCTCTAATTGATGGGAGAAACTGCGCCGAGCGGGAGATTCTCCGACGGACGGCTGGTTCAGCTTCACTTCGGCAGACCGGTCCACCAATTGTTGATCCGTGTGGAAAGGTTACCATACGTTTACAGTCTATTGATTCAGACTGTAGTTGGATATTGTCATAGTACAATGAGTGCCCGAATCTCCCGGTCCTGGTTGGCGCTCGCGGCTCGCAACTCGTCCGTCCCATTCCTGTACCAGACTCGCACCCTCACTGCCGCATACCTGTCCCCTCCAGTCCGTCACAGCCAGCAGCAGCAGCAGCACTACTCGACGTCCAGCGACGCCAACGAGCAGGAACATGAAGCAGCAACAGCAGAATCAGCACAAGATGACAAGCCCGCGCGTCCAACCCGGAGGAGCTTTCTACGGAAAAAAGCCGCGGCCGTCACGCAACAGCAGCAGCAACAAGCTCCCAGCAAATCAGCTCCGCAAAAGCCGGTGACCATGACCAGCACCGAGAAACAGATCTTCGGCAACCTTCTCGAGCAACTCGGCACTGAGCGCCGTCAGCAATCCCAGACTGAACCCACACCATCCACGCCGTCATCAACGGAACCCAAATCCACCCTCCGCGACGACGAAATGGACGAGATGGCCCAAATCTCCGCAATCTTCGACTCCGTCCTCCAAGACATGAAAGAAAAGCGCCAGCGCAGCGCAGCGCGCACCGAGCGGCAAGAAAGCGAACTCGCCGTGCGAGAAAAGAATACAGCCATCGAAGAAAAGCTCCAAACAGGCGAATACACCGACGACGAGCTAGCAGAGATGATATCCTCGAACCAGATTACCATGGACCGGGCCATCGAGGCCGTGATCATGCGCGAGTCCGTAAGCATCGAAGCGGCGCTCTGGGACGCGATTGATAACCGTCGCGGAGACACGGGTATCTGGGAGGTATGCAAGGAGCGGATCTTCAATATCCTTCGACACTTGGACGATGAAAAGAAGGGTTTATTGGGCATTAAGGACGAAGCCACCTCCTCGGAAGACAGCTCCCTCACTATCCCACCCATCGTCCCCACCGAACCCGTCGTCACAGAACTCTACCCCAAAATGCTCCTCGTCGCGTTCAAGCTCCTCAACCTGCATTATCCGGACTCTCATCTCATCAGCCAGTTCCGTGCGACGATTAAATCTATGGGCCGGGCGTCTGCGGTCCTGGGCGGGTCCACGGCTCTCTATAATGAGTTTATTTACTTCTATTGGCGTGGGTGTCATGATTTGCCCGGTGTAGTGTCGCTGCTTCGCGATATGGAGGTTACGGGCGTGGAGCCGAACCGTCGTACGTGCGGTTTATTGCATTCGATTAAGAATCAGAGGGATCATGATCTGAGGAATCATTGGCGGAAGGCCAAGGTGGAGGGGAAGCAGGGGAAGTCGAATCGCGAGCCGTGGTGGGATTTGGCGCCGAATCGGAAGGCAGTGAAGGAGTTGTTTGGGGATGAGGGGTGGGTTAAGAGATTGGAGGAGAGGGTGAAGGAGATTGAGAGGGCGAGGGATTATTAGACCCTTTGTATATACATGATGTTGTGAAGCAGGGGAAGTGGTCAGGTTGAATGAGATGTAAATATACAGTTGTATCAGCGGCAGCAAATACCGCAAGTAAACAAGCAAGCTAAAACGAAATAATGTTAATAATAGTACATACTACCACCCCATACTTTCCTTCCCATCACAGTCAATGTCGGTGCCAGTTACAGCTTCAACCCCCAACTCCTCCCCAATCCCACAGCAGTCGACCCCAAGAATCCCAAGCACTGTTTCACCCCGGACAACTTATCCTTCACAGCTCTTGCATCCGCCCACCGGCGACTCAGGAACTCCTCCGTATCACGCAGCCCCGCACTCGTATCCCGCGTCATCACAAACTCCGACGATGCATACACAGCCGCCACAGCCATGCGCTTCGAATACCACGATGCATCGACGGAAGCGTCGCCCGCTAGCGTGAGGATATCGTCCGAGAGAGCGTGCAGTTCGGATAACGAGAGAGGGATGTTTTCGCCAAGGGACATGATGGCTAGGGCCTATATTACCATGTTTATTAGCATCATACGGCATTCCTGATATATGGAACAGCTAGAGATAGATCAGGAAAGATAGGGGAAGCATACATCCTGCAACTTCTCCTTCACTTCAACATTCATGCGCAAGCGCTCCATAATCAGGACCTTGATCTTGTCGTCCACGGATAGAGGCTGGGATGATTGCAGCAGCGCATCATTCTCCACCTTGGAGCGGAGAAGACCCCCGTCGACTCGCCAGCCAGAATAGAATCAGGTCGAATTCGCCCCGCGGGAGAAGCTGCACCGAGACGTCGAGGAAGCCGGCATCCCGGGCTCCGAGGGTCAGGGCGTCGCGGGTGAAGCCGTGGGTCGGGACGTGGCGGAGAGCAGAGGAGAGGATGGTCGTTTGGGAATTGGAGTATTCGTGGGTCGGGGTGGGGTGGTGGATTGAGTGGTAGGGACGGATGCTAGGGGTCGTGGTGGTGCGGAGGCATGGTTGGTGCTGGATGGAGCGGAAGGTGGTGGTGGTGGGTTTGGTGGTGAGGAAAGATGTTGTTGTACGGATGGATGTGGTTGTGGTTGTTCGGGGCGCAGTGGTTGCAAGATACCTCCGGGAGAGGGTGAGAAGGGGTTGTGAGCGAGTCATGCTGGGTGAGTGGTTGTGGTTGCTGTTGGGGAGGAATTGAAGGTCGGAGATGGAGACGGAGATGGAAGTTGAATGGATGGCGGAGGATTTTCTAAGCGGTGGCCTGAGCGGAGAGCCAAGAGCTGCTTCTTCTGTTCTGGCGTCGGGATGTCTTTAGGAGTGGTACTTGTTTGGGGTCAATTCTTCGGACTGTATACCAGTTGTTTATGATCAACGATTTATTGTGTTTCATGGATAGAGGGGTCTGCAGTGTCAATTGATGGAAATGATTGGGGCTTGTGGTGGTTCAGATGTCTGATTCTGTCGGGGACGCTGAGACAGTGGCTGTCTTTAGTGCTACAGTGGATGNAGTTATGGCTGGGGGAATCAAAATGGGGAGTCACAATGAGAGCAACTTTGGGTTTAACAACCTAAGGTGGCTATTGGTTGATTACTGCATAGGTCTAAGTATGATCTAGTTGATAGGTATTTTGGAGTAATCGGGAAGTAAATGAAGGGCTGGAACAACTGCAGTGATGTGGATGCGGTGGTGGTGCCTGTGCCTGTTGATCATGACATTTCAGGCGGATTCCCCGCGATGATAGGCTGTCTGTGTCTGATGTTGATAGCAGCATCCATGGATACCAGCTAGTGACAGTCATTCTTACCAGTTCACTCACAAAAGGAGATCGATGGATGATGATCAATTAATGCCTCATTTACTCCCAACTGCCATCTCGGTCCCTTATGACTTCCCAACTACCCTTGATTTCCCCTTGATCCTTTTCATCTCATTCCTTCATTTCCTCTCCATTTATTCAGTGAACATCCCGACCGCTCGAGCCTCCATCCCTGCCGGCAGGTCGGAGTGAGTTGCTTATCCCCAGCTGCTCCTCAGTTCACACACTCTGGCCCCATCTCCCTCTCTTCCTCCCTCTCCTCACGACTATAACCTACTAGTGTGTTTGTTGCAGCTGGCACTACTTCGTACTAACTAGACTATCCCTTCCTATCCCCCCCCCCCCTCTTCCCCTTCGGATCTCCGATTTGTTCTGATAATTGTCTGCTTGCCTGGAAGGCGATCCAGACTGTCTTCCTGTCCCCCCATTTACCTTTTCTATCATCATCATCATCATCATCATCATCATCATCACTACTACCACTACTCCGTACTACTGCTTGATAACTAACGTATCATTTTCCTTCCACTTCCTCCTCTTTTCTTCATTTTGATCTTCTTACACCATCGAATCCAATATCATCAACATGGGTGGGTGATACTTTTCCTATAATGCAACTTCTCTTGTCCCCATGTCGGTTCCCCGGATTGTTTGTTTGTTCTCTCGTGATCCACCGTCAATGGCTTGTCCCGGTGGACATCCAGCCCACGTTTCCTTCTTGCTTCGATCCATAATCCATACTTGAGGGTGCCTCACATTCTTGTCCCGGTTGGGAATGACTTGTGATTGACTTCAACCCTGATGTGCCTTCCTTTCCCCCCCTCCCTTGTCTAGGCTGCACATACCGTATCTCTGAGCTCCCCTCAGACCCCCTCCCCCCTCACCATCATCATCACACACGGGTTCCCACTCCAGCAGGGACCTCCATCCTCGCTCACGGCGCCGGGCGGATGTGCCGAGTCAGAGCAGTGACCATCCAGCCCGACCATGCATCTCATTCCTCTTGCTGCGACAGCTACGCCAACCACATCCACGCTCAGTGGAGGGTGTCTGCGGATGCCCCCGGGGGGAAGGCCAATCACGCTGCGTGCTGCATGGTGTCCCGAACGGGCTGGCAGACAGACGGACTCGAACTGCTCTGCACTGGACGGATGGGATGGCATGGGATTGGATCTGACTTGACACACACACGGGCTGGAACAAGCACGACGGTGGTCTCTCTCCCTCAGCTGGTTTCTGGCCTTGGACCTTGTCTCATCGTTTCTTTTTCCTTTTCTCTCTTTTCCCCCCTCCCTCTCGCCCATCCCCTTCCCTGGCTGGCTGGCTGCTTCTTACACACACGCGCACACTACTACCACCTTAACTAAGTAGTACTTCCTCACCCTCTCACACACAGCCGCCCACACACACACACACACCACACACTTTCTTCTGTGTCTGACTTGACTTCCCTCCCCCCTCCCGCCGTCACCCTCCTTTATCTCTCGCGTCTCGCCTCCTCTCCATTCTTCTTTCTTCTACCTTAATTCCATCCTCTTTCCCGTTCCCATCCCAATCTTCCCCCTCTTTTTTTTCTTTCTTTCGTACTCTGGTAATATCCTTTCTACTGCTTTGTTCCCTCCCGACCGTGGATTCGGTGGCTTACCATCTAGGCTTAATCTTCAGCCGACGTCTATCGACCCTATCAAGTAAGTTTGCTTTCCGATCGGTTGGTGCGCTTGTAGCTCTTCTTGGAGAATGGATGCATCTAGCGCTGTTCTTGATTGATTTTGGAAAGAAAGGAGCTCTCTTTGTCATTGTTGCAGATAGCTGGATGGGGAAACAGTCGACAAGATCCATCTCAGCTGCAAATAGAGAGAGGGAGAGTGATGGGCGGTGCTCACGGCTCACGTTCGGGAATCCGTCATCCCCACTGTTTGCTGCCACTCCCGCAAGCTATCCACCCTCGTTCTTGATCTTCCACTCCGATCCTCATCTACTATCTGTCTACTTTGCTTGGGTGATTCTTTTAGTTGTTGATTGTTTATTGCCCCCATGGAAGAACTTTCGCTGTGCCCTCACTTGCATCTTGACTCTCTCTTCACTCTTCTCCCTGTCCTCTGCTGGTTCTGCTGGAATGGCTGGTCCGGTTGCCCGTGACTTCCCCAGGGTCCCCCCGGTCTGGCGTTTGGCGCTAAACCCGATTTGACACTCAAATCAGGTGACCGGCCCCGTGTCTGGCGCAGAAACCGGAACTCGGACCCAATCCAATCCAGTCCCGTGCATTCCTGCTCCTGCTCTTCCCTCTCACTGAACTCAACTCACTCTCCGTCCCAATTCACTCCCCCATCTCTCATTGCCATTCCCCATTGCCGATTCCCCCGTTTTCCTTTCCATCCAACCAAGCAGCTCGATTTCCCACCCACCCCCCCAGTTCCAGGGACCTTGCGCGCTGATCTCATCGAATCCACCATTGTCTCACTACCTCTTTGCCTTTCTTTAAATCTCCACTCCCTCTCTGCCATTCCCGCGCGCTCGCTCTCCTCCCGCCTCATGTCTCCGTCTGCCTTCGACGACACTGACCACGCACAGCGCGAGAGGTCTCGTTCTCCCCGTCGTCGTTCTCGTAGCCCTCGACGCAGCCGTCGCTCGTACTCTCCCCGCAGTCGCTCTCGCAGCCGTGACGACTATCGCCGCTCCGACCGTCGTTCTCGTTCGCCTATGAGTACGACCCAAGGCGCTCCCGGTGGTCATTCTGCTTCTGGTTACGGTGGGCGCGGCAGCTACCCACCTCCCCCCCGTTCGTTCGAAGATCGCGCAGTCGCCAAAGAACAAATGATGCAAGCCGTGCGCGAGTCGTCCCAGCAAGACCGTCGCGTCTATGTGGGCAACCTCTCCTACGATGTCAAGTGGCATCATCTGAAAGACTTTATGAGACAGGGTGAGCAGGGTCATATCGTGTTGCCGGGCGTGTGATAGCGTTTGTGCGGGTCTGGAATCTGTGGCTGACTTTGGAGGGGGACGTTCCGCGCTCGAACAGCTGGAGAAGTCATCTTTGCCGATGTCTTACTGCTTCCCAATGGAATGTCGAAGGTGGGCGCCAATGCGTAGTGTGGCTGGTTTCCTTTCCCTTTTTTGTGTTTCTGGATTTTTCTCTCCCCCGTTGGTTCGCTTGTTATGGACTGTTTGGGTTGACGGGCTGGGCCTGGCCGTCCGGGATACTGTAGGGATGCGGGTGAGTCGATTCCGTTGGTCTTTGATCGCCAGTATGTTGTTACTGACGGTGCGCAATAGGATTGTGGAATACGCGACCAGGGAACAAGCGCAAAATGCGGTAAACACCCTCAGCAACCAGAACTTGATGGGAAGACTCGTCTACGTCCGTGAGGTATAATCCACCCTTTTCCCTCCAGGTCACTGAAAACTTGATCGGTTCCTGACCAAAGCGCAGGATCGTGAGCCCGAGCCTCGTTTCACGGGAGGTCCCTCTCGTGGTGACTTCGGAGGTGGTGGTCGCGGCGGCTTCGGCGGCGGCTTCGGCGGGCCTGCCGGCGGCGGCGCTGGTGGCCGTCAGCTTTATGTCTCGAATGTTGGTTTACTCCCATCCATTATTGACATTTTGATATCGTGCTCGACCGGAATTAGGTATTGACGCTGGGGATGTTTAGCTTCCATTCAACGTTGGCTGGCAAGACTTGAAGGATCTTTTCCGCCAAGCTGGTAAGTATGGGACGGCAGAGCCTCTATTCAACCGCCATCTCTGCCTCCTCCCCATCGCAAGCTGTCTTCAGGACTAACATTGACTTCTCATTTAGCTCAGCAGGGTGCTGTGATCCGTGCCGATGTCCACACCGATGCCACTGGCCGTCCCAAGGGCTCTGGTATTGTCGCCTTCGAGTCCCCTGAGGATGCCCGGAATGCCATTCAGCAGTTCAACGGATACGACTGGCAAGGACGCCAGCTGGAGGTTCGTGAGGATCGCTTCGCTGGTGCCGGACCTGGGTTCGGTGGCCGTGGTGGTTTCGGCGGTCGTGGTGGCTTTGGTGGTGGCTTCGGCGGCCGCGGTGGCTTTGGTGGCCGTGGCGGTTTCGGCGGAGGCTTCCGTGGTGGTTATGGCGGTGCTCCTGGCGGTTTCGGCGGTGCTCCTGGTGGTTTCGAGGGCGTGCCCTCTGGACCTCCTAACCCGTTCACCGATTTCGCTACTTCTGGCGGCGACAAGAGCGCTGTCATTTACGTGCGCAACCTGCCTTGGTCGACTTGCAACGAGGATCTGGTGGATCTGTTCTCGACTATTGGCAAAGTCGATCGCGCGGAGATCCAGTACGAACCCAATGGTCGTTCCCGCGGCACTGGTGTGGTTCAGTTCGATAGTGCGGACACTGCGGAGACGGCTATCGGTAGGTCTTGTGATTTAATTAGCAAGGAAGACAGCTACTAACTGCACTACAGCTAAGTTCACCGGCTACCAGTATGGCGGTCGTCCCCTGGGCATTACGTTTGTCAAGTACATGAACGCCGGCCCAGGGCCTGGTGATGCGATGGATGGCACCGAGCCGACTGCTCCGATCACGCAGGATCAGATCATGTAACACTATCATATGATTTGCTTTTTTCTTCGGGAGGACATATCGAGGCCGAAAAAAGTTTGCGATGTAATACTCCGGATCGAGAAAAGGATGATCTGTTGGCGCGGGTTCGCGCATGCTGCATTTTGTTCCATACCAGGCACACCTTATGATTTGTTTTTCTTATTACTATCGGGCATTCTATTGTTGTTTCAATTCTCCGAAGATCTGGTCTGGCGGGGACACATCGGATGTTTTTCAAGCTGAAATTGCAAGCGGATGGCTTCTGGTGGATTTGTTCCTTTGCGTTTGGACGGTTGCCCTAGTGAAATTGCTGCACTGGAGGGTTTGACCCGCTTGATTGATTTGATGAGGTTCTGACTTGTAGACTTGTAATTGGTAGGCTAGCACGGATACCTTATATACCCGACTATACATAGTAGTGACTGTATTGGAGTTATCAGTTATGTTCACATGCTATCTGCAGTGTCTCTTTTGTCTCTTTCTCTAAAGCTTACTTGCTACTATTTCTGAAGATTATACACAACAAGCCATCTACTAAAAACTAGCATGTTGTTATGCTTACTCAATTCAATCTAGTTTGTCTCCAAGTACTATCCCTGTACCTTGGTACAGGAATTGAAGATATATATTCCTCTAGTACTTCCATCATTTATCTACTATATTCTCTCCGGGTCAGGACTCGCAATCGGATTCTACCCCATCGTGGCTCGCTCCCGACTCCGACATCATCCATCAGTACGATGATACTGTTTGAATAGCGGTATGCATAGGAGGAGGCTAGGACAAGGTATGCAGATAGTACGTAAGAAAATGAGATTGATGAGGCGGGATTTGATGCATGCACATGTTGTGGAGGAAAAGGGTAAGCAGCAAGCGTCTTCCTTATTAGATTAAATACTAATACCTGATTACTAGTTGAATTAGATATATCTTGCAGCTGTATCCTGAGCTTTGATAAAATCCTCGGAGATAATTCAGCCAGCGCTTGCAGGCTTATTTAATTGCTATACCATTCAGTAGTTACATATGTAGAAACACCAAGTTTGTAATAAATATACAACATTATTAAGTTGTTGCTTCTTAATACTAGTCTCGACATTGATCAATCAGGTAAAGCAGGCAGGTACTAGGTAGATAGACAAGATATGTGGAACTGAGACATCTAATCCCCAAATTTGTTAGATATTTACCATACAAGTCTGATAGATTAGCATATTACTGCTATTCTAGCACTGGGACCAATTCGTAGCAAGTTGCGAGTAGCGGGGGAAACACCGGCATGAGAGATTCGGCGTCCGATGCACCACCCGACGCCGCACACTTGTATGTATCCGCAGGGATCCCGGTTTTGAATGTTTTAAAGGCTTCTGGACGTTGGATGAGTACTAGTATAAGAACCATAATCATAACATATAACATATATCATATGAATATAGAAAGGTACTATTGGAATTCCAATTATATACAAGAAATATTCCCCATAGCACCTCTTTTGTAATGCCATTAATACTACTAACAAAGCTACTGTAGCCTGGCAGTTAGAGATACTAGCGGGGCTAGGCTTAAGCACTAAACTACTTTAAAAAAAAGGCCAAAACATCGAACTTCATGTTCGATATGCCCTAACCACCTGTGGGTGTCTGTATATCATCGGAGATGATATCCGGAGGAACTATGCAGATGCCAATGTGACTGGTCGAAGTAAGTCGCCAAGCACTGGGATTAACCACTTGAATGAATAGGATTGAGGATGAGTTGTCAATCATGTCATTGACACCTGGCTTAGTATCTGTGCATCAGCAGTCTATAGCTAATGGTTATACGGGTGGACTTTCGGAGATACAAGTAGATCAAAGAGATACGAGGTTATATGCCGATGGGCCCCCCATTGGATTTATTCAGCGCACTCTGCCGAAGCCCCATCGATTGATATGAATATTCTTGTTTCGGCTTGAGGGTTTCTCTATGCTGTCTATAAGTATTGCTGGAATAGTATTCAGGCTTTTCTTTGAGGGAGGTAATGCAGCTTTCCCAGCGAGTGTGGTTTATACTTAGGTCTGCAATGATTGCTCCAGGTCTACACTAAGTATGGTAAGAAAAGCCCGACAATTGACATCACATGGTATTCAGTTGTTAGAGAAAGAAAGCGATCGATGAATGGAAAAGCATGAATGACAAAGCCGATACACAGGCGGTAAAAGTGAAACGTTACAAATAAGAAGAAAGAGAGCAAAAGAAAAATCTCAAGCACAGTAGAATCTATATAGAGCCCCTATATCAATGACAAACACCCTCCGTCTAATCCCAGGCTAACCCCTTCATTCATCTTCAGCCCCTCGCAAGTATGTCCTCCTCAACTTCCGTGGCTTGTCTTCGCCATCGCTACCTTCTTCAACATTCTCCTCTTGGCTAACCTCCTCATTTTCCGCGGTATTGGCGTGACCCTGCGCGACATGGATGGGCCTATCATCGCCAGCAGCAGCCCATAGAGCCCGAGCTTTGGGCCCCTTGGGCGCCGTCAAAACTCTTGCGGTGATGATTTGGAGAGGAGGCCGAGATTGCCAACCATTGGTTGCTACAATGTCATGGTAGCTGTAGTGCGGGCGTGTCACGATTAGAACCCGAGTACCGTGGTGAGGCCTGAAGCCGACGAGAAGGATATGTGGATCCATTTTATTGGAATGACGATCAAATGTCAGAAGCTCAGGCAGTCGTTCGACCACAAGATTGCCAAATAATTCGCCTTGGAGACTGGTGAACTGATGGGCAGCTTCCTCTAGGACTTTGCGAGTTTCTTCTTCGCGTATGGCCTGCTCTTCCTCGCTCAATGAGCCTCGAAACAAGAGCTGGAATGGCTGGCTCGCTAGCAGCTCGTCTCCATAGGCCTTTAGGAGGACCTTGCGGCGTTCCAGTGTTGTATGAAGAAGTGGTGTGGGAGGGGCTTTGTTGTACCCCCATTCTGTGGCGCTGAGCATACATACGCTCACGAGGGTTGATTTCCACCAGGCTGCGTCTTTAGGCAATGCTACAGGAAGAAACCAAAGTCAGCGACATCGACTCCACAGTTCAGGGAGGAAAGAAAGAGGGAGGGCAGAGAGGTCTAGAAGCTTACTTTCTTTGAACCTCTCATAGACATAGTCGAGTCGTTTACAGAAGTTGTCGTCCCCTTCCTGGTCAGTAGCATCGATTTTGGCATCCACAAACCAGAAGGTAGAGGCGGCAAATTTGTCATGGATAAACTTGTTCATCATGGTTTCCATCAAAACAATCCCAATCTCAGCACGACCGCCAGGGGGGAGAGAGGAATATATACTGTCCCAGTCATCTTGGATGCAGAAACCATCCAAGCTTGCAATGATCATCCGTTTGTCATCATCGGAGAGACGGTACATAGGCTTGTTTTCACCCCATGACATGGCCCAGCCCTGGACCCGTAGAGCGAGCAGACCGAAGCCGTCGCGGACCATTTCCGGGCAGGATCGTATATGGGGCCGTGCTAGCATGCCCATCATGAAATGATGTTCCATTATGTCATGATACTCTTCCTGTTGACAGAGATACTCTCCACTGGGGTACACAGCTGCCCCCTTTCCCTTCTCTTCTATGTCCGTGCTAGTGCGCTTGGGCTGCTTTTGCTTTTTTCCGAGCAGTGACCATTGTGGCAATGGGTCAGGCGACTCAAGTAATTCAAGCAAGTCAAGTACCAAGAAGAGATAGTTGTGGGTTGATCTTGGGGGAGGGGAGGTAGGAAGAATGATTGGGGAAAGGGTGGATAAGGAGAAGGAGAAGGAAGGAAATTGGGAAACTGCAGTAAACTGAGGGAAACTGAGCATCATCAGAGGGAAAAGGTTCGGCCGAAAGTCTATTTCTTCATTCATTCATTCATTCATTCTTTCCTTTCGTTTTCAAGCTGCTTTGCTGCTTGCTCATTGGCCCTTAGGGCTGCCCGGCTCTTTGTGTGAGGCCAGAGTCTAGCCGCCTGAAGGTCTCGGCCGCGACTAAAGCTCCTTAGATATCATTCCTCACTTAAGTAGCAGATCAGTTAAGACAGGGGATCTACCGGTAACTCGAACATTTCAACAACATCAGCTACACCGATAGCCGTGTTGAGAATGATATAGGCTTGGTTCGCTTGGAGCGTTGCCCTCGAGAAAGGACTTGTAATCTCCAGTATGTCAGATATGCCGGCTGGAACATGAGAAAACGCACAAAGCTGGGTGGTTCTAATGACTTACTAGACATGCTGTTTAGGTCCGCATAGATATGACAAGAATGCATTTGGTAGCCAACAGAGTATAGTTGGATTTAGATATATGGATAGTAATGTCCTTAATATGCAAAGGGTAACTGAACCACGAGAGACTTAAATGTGTATTTCTACAAGGCTTGAACGGCTCATAACGCTTCATCCCCTCCAATCATCCAGCATGGCCAGACAGCTAGCTCAGGATGCATATACAGGGATATTGGGGCAATAACCTGACACGGAATAGCATGTACAGCATTAATTATGAAGGCTGCCACTCGTAGGGCATTATCGCAGCCCAGCAGTGCACATGCCTTCTGTGTTCTTTGTTAACGCAGCCTAGTATGTGATAACCACAGAGAAGTAAACAAATAGAATCTGCGCGCTCCTCGCCCAGGCTTGGGACGCTGGATATTATTCTCCTGCCTTTTGCATAAGGTTGCGTATTTCGAATTGTTCACATTACTCCACCAGTCAGTTTACACTATGATAAACCAGTAATACACCCAGAAAGAATATCTTTTTCTGCTCGTCCCAATCCGTAACTGTAGCCTGGTCTCATTTTCTCATGATTCTCTTGTTCTCAATAAGACCTAAATTCGACTTAGCCGCATCTCAGCCGTCTTAATCTGGGCACATCCCCCTTCTACACCGGCCAAGATGCATCTCCTGGTCAAGAGCTAACTTATTCCAAGCGCTTCGTATAAAGTACGAGTGGATATAGGATGAGATTCTATGATGATGTTTTTGTGATCTATAGTACAACTTGTAGAGTTACTATTACACTGGACCGGATTTCTATTAATAAAGCATCCCGAATGACTGACAGTGCCCGTGCGCCAAGTCAGCAGGTGCAATGATTTGATTGTCATCGTTCGCTAAAGCCTTTCGACGTCTCATTGGATAAGAATATGTTTAGGCTGGCATCATACGCCCTCCAAGGTCGTTAAGTCATCCGGCCCAAAATACATTAGGTGTCGGACTCTTGTGTCTTCCCCTCCTTCTACAGCCGTGCCCCGACCTCATATCAAGATACATTCACTCAAAGTGTTCATACCACCAAAGGATTTGATTCCAATCCCTCTCTTGTGCTGTGTATCTCTCCACAAGAATAATCTACTAAAATACAGTACGTCATCTAGATTAGATACGCTTCTTGCCTATGCTGACGACACGCTTCGCTCACCTTTAAGAGACGAGAGCTACAGTACTCAAGCTGAGCTTTAAACATATTCAGACCCATTATTCTCTTTCCTGTTATACAACGAGTATTCTGTGCGTCAAACGTCGGCAGCAGATATACTCTCCTGATTGACACATATACGTCGTCCATTGATAAAGATCATCACCGATCCATATTTAAACATGCAAGATTGTGAAGTCTGCCGCTGCAGGAATACTGATATGGCTCTTATTGGCTGGCCTTTTTTCCTTGAGAAAGCTTGAAGCTGGATTTTCGAAAGGCTGTGAATGGTGTGATTTTCTTTAGGAATTGTGCCAGCCTCTATGAAGATAAATGGGCCCATTTACCGCGAGATAATACCAATCAGGTTTATTATAAAGTGAGCCGGATGCTTTTTTCAGACACCCAGGAAGCTGAGCTTTCGTTGAATTGGCCGTCTCCTATCAATACAGCTGAATCTTCAACATATTTCGAGCCTACAAAACCTGTAATTGACAGCATTCGTCTTGAATTTGAAGTTCAAGATTATCTACGCCATGTCAGTTTCCCTTTCTATGAAATAGAAGCACTATGCTGATGTACAACAGGTACCCTTATGGTTACCCTTGAAGATAACCCAAGTGCGAACACTTGGTGCCACGACTCTGCTGCGCCCCAATGCTTTGCTCTGATAGAATCGTGGATTAAGAGATGCGAAAGCGACCACCCTGAATGCAAAGGCATGCGTGAAAATTCTTTGGTCAACCCTAAAAGGCTTTTACAGATATCCAGTACGCTGGAAGAGTCGTGTGTCCACTTGGTTCAAGTCGAGAAATCCGATTCACCTAGATATACAGCGCTAAGCCATTGTTGGGGAAACACTCTTGGCTTTAAAACAACCAGACAGAATCTTGAGGCACACACAACTGAAGGTATCATGATTTCGAAACTTCCGCGAACCTATCAACATGCAATTGATATATCTAAGAGAATTGGCTGTCAGTATGTCTGGATCGATTCTATCTGCATCGTTCAGGATAGCAAGGAGGAGTGGGAGTTAGCTTGTGAGACCATGGGGCATATTTACGGTAACGCACATGTTGTGATCGGAGCTACACATGCGCCAAATGACAGTGCCGGTATATATACGGATAGGAAGAATAAGGTGGCCTATCTTGAAAACCGTGGGAAACGAGTTCCTATTCTTGTGAGGGAGAAAATAAGGCATGATGTTTGGCAAAACGATGAACCCTCGTGGCAGGCTTGGAACGACCAGAGTATGCCACTCTTTGGCCGTGCTTGGGCTTTTCAAGAACGCCTTCTCGCTAGAAGAATAATACATTACACCCAAGAGGAGATAGTCTGGGAATGCATATCCGACTCCTGGTGCGAATGCGGGAGACTGGGCACTGATCGATATCCAAGAGAAAGATTTCCTCAATTGAACAATTTCAAAACGAGATACGCCCAGGTCATAAAGTATGGCAGTGATATGGATCGTTTTGGGTTATGGCTTTCGGTGATCGATCAATACCAAGCACGAGGAATCACACACCCTAAAGATCGCCTCCCTGCACTTGAAGCTATCGCAGAGCAAGTTAACCGGGATGACCTGATGGGTTTATATGTTGCTGGTATGTGGGTGGATTGGCTAGTGGGCTCACTTTTGTGGCGGGCAGACGCAAATAGCTCGAAGGTGGCCAAAAAGGACGAAAGTCACAAGAGGCCCAATCCTTCTAGTGCTCCAACATGGTCGTGGCTTTCCGTGGAGGGGCCTATCAGCACCTGGGGGAGAAACTCTCAATCGGATATCAAATTGGTGAACATCGAATATACGTTAGCCGGTGATAATATATATGGGCCCTATAACACAGCAAAGCTTGAACTTGAGGGCCAGATGATTGGAGTCATGATACATGCTATGGCCTCCCAGCTATACATCGTTCGGTCATGCCAGAGTCCGGAGAAAGCACATTTTCTACCTGACACCAACCCTTTCGAAATAAATCCAAACAAGCTCATCGAGACGGAGTTTTACGCTTTGAAGCATAGCAGATCCCCGTCGGTATTGTGGAATTGTCTGATCTTGACAGTAAGTGCCGGGGGAAAGGAGTTTCGGAGTGTTGGAATAGCCGAGGTTGGCCTGGGTTGGTTCTCAGATGTTTCACGGAAAAGAATAACAATAGTATGACCGAGAAGTAAAGATATGACTATCTGGTGGAGCAGCAATACAGTCGTCCATCTTTAGGTAGCCATATCGAACTAAGTTAGGGAGACAAGGCAGTAATCGTTCGAAACATGTGACATAGTAGTATTCGATAGAGCCTAGTAAAAATCCACTATTAGGAAAGACCAATGACTTGCGGTTAACCTCCGTACTAGAATGTGCAGACATTGCTCTCAAAGCGATGCGATAATAAGACCGGATATTTGGCTTCCCGGTGCGCCTCCTATGTATACAGTGCCATGCGCGGCAGTAGCTAGTCTTGGCCTTACGAACTTCCGGTAGAAAGAGCACGCATTTTTCAGATCTTGAATTAGCTTCAATGAGGGCAGCTTGATTTTCTTTTCTGCGTTGGTCCCTCTTTTCCTTTAGTTGTTTCAAGGTAGGAACAATTACTTGAGGCTGCAGTTTTGGCTCGATAAAATTGTTTGATTCTATCATCGAGATCTTAAAAATGAGTATCAGCGTAACTGCAGTGGTATATATCGACAGGGGATTTGGGAGATTTAGGTCAGGGTGGACTAGGATATATCCCGTGTGGACTAGACTCTTGCTTTTCACTCGTCAGTCATCCCGAATACATGCTGCTTCTTCTTGTGTGGCTGACACGAACATCATCATCATCATCATCATCATCAATATCATGTTAGCTCTGCCAGCCGTCGTTGAACGTGCCAAGATCCCCGCAGCAATACCGTTCGATCCGGTTGATTATGCCCAAAGGAGGGTCCATGAGTACTCCCTGAAAGTATTCTAGTCCAACCATCTGGGATCGCCCTTATTCATCCACTATCAGCAGTAAGTCCGCAGTACCTTATGCGCAACACTACTACTAAGTAGTTAGGTTGATATGTTCTTGCCTGGGAAGCTGTATTTTTATTGCACAGATGTATTTGTGAAGGGTCAAATGGTCACTGGGGAAATCACTTGTAGTTAAGTAAGTTGGCGCCGTTAGATTGAGAGGATTGATGGTTCGGGCTGTATACTATCAAAAGGAAGGCGCTACTGCCACACCAGCCAACGCCCGCCGCCTACCACGCCTAAAACCAGCAGAATCCATACCGCCTTTTTAACAAACGCAGTTATCGCCTGAGGCCTATTAATATGCCTGAGGTGACCATTGTTGGCCCCAGGTAGAAGCTGGAATACAAGAGCAGGTGGTAGTCAGTAGCGCCTCCCTATTTAGCTTCCCAAATGGCATGTTGTGAATTCAGTTCAGTTCATTCGCAAGCTATATAGATAGATATCCAAAGTCCTGCTCAAAGACAAACGATCCGTGTGTTTGTTTGCATGCATCCATCCGAGGATTCAAACTCCCGACGACCAGACCAGGTTCAAAACAAGCAAAGCAGCAAGCATGCCAAGTATCAGACGCAGAAAGAAAGCTTAGATCAACCAGCTGAAGCAGAAATAAGGTGAAGAATTGAAGAAGTTCAAATGGTCGGGGAATATTGTACAGAGAATTGAAGAAACCAAGCATCGCAAACGGTGCATAAGTGCAAGAAATAAAGAAAGAAACAAGTCCCCAGCCAGTTATCCAGAATTGTACCAAACGCCTTGATCATCCAGCCGTCCATCCGGTCCGTCCATCCATCGACCGATTACCACCACCTGTCACATTGCAACGCCGATAAAGTGATATGTCAAAAACGTTAGGGGCGCAGCGTAGTAGGCTCATTGCCTGACTTCAGCGCTCCCGGTTTTGGAAGTGAGTGGTCGTCCTTCTGATGTGACAGAAGGTCACCACATCCACATATGCATGCGTGAGAATAATGTACATAGGAAAGGAACAAAGGAAATCAACAAAGAAAAATGGTTAACATAGGAAATCAGCAACAGTGCGCCTCTTGTAGCACGCAAGAGCACGGTTGTTGCTTACGCAGCCATACCGGTGGGAGGATAATGGCCTGGAATCTGCAGTTCAAGCGTCGAAACACTATTCTTAGACTGCGGTGGAGGACGCCTGAGGCTTCCGGTTTGCGAGGCAGCCGCCGGATCGGTTGTGACAGGTCCAGTCAGTGGCGTCCGCAATGAGCCGTCGACCGAAGCCGCCGATTGCTGCTTCGTAATGCCCACACCGTCGCCCACCAGGCCGTCATCTTGAGCGTCGGATTCTTCCCGTTCATCAATCGACGTCGGCACGGTGGTATGAGTGTAGTCGGTTACATTCGTCGTGGTTGGTGCGGTTGATGTGCTCTCGCCGCGCTCCCTCTGGCGGGTCAAAGAAGGGTCGCGAGAGTTTGTGGACCCAAGCCCCGCCACATATATATTGGTGGTACTCCCTCGATCAGATCCGACTCTTTCCCGGTTGTCATTCATGTTCTGGGTGTGTTGGCCAAGCTGTCTCTGTCGACCGCCGTCTGACGTGCCCATCCAGCTGCCATAGTAGCTATCGTGTCTCTCCACTGGAGCTGCTGCTGCAGCGCTGCCCGCACGGTTCTGGCCCATTTCTACATCATTGCTGAAAGAGTCCCGACCGTCAGGTAAGGAGCCGGCTGCGGCCAGAAGATCTCTCTCGCCAGAGCTCTCTCCACTAGAGGGCGACAGTGGAGCCTCCAAATGGCGGTCTATTTGCACGTCACTGGGGAAACGCCCGCCCGGTTCGCGAGGCTGAGACGTCGGGCGTTCCTGGTGCAAGACTGCTGACTCTGCAGAGTACGGTGTGCGGTCTGCTTCGTCTTCATCCATCCCATCACTGCTGTTCCGCCAACTCATGCCACTCACAGTTCGGATATGCTGCCTCACATATGCATTCCGAGCCTCGCCTGTCTTCGAGATGAGGCTCTCGATGTCTTCATACCAGGCCATCATCGTATCGTGCGATTCCGCACGGAAGACCCAAGAATGACCCCGGTGCATTGTCCCGGTTTGTCGCCCCTTGAGCATGAATTTGTGCGATGTCGAGTCTGGCTGCGAATGCGACCCCAGCTTCTGCTCGGGAAGGTTCAATGACATCACCGGTTGTTGCCATGCGACTCGATCGGCAGATTTAAATTCGTGAAGATGAGTAGGAGACAGAACATACCTACTCCAAGTCAGCCAAAATATTCTAGGATACATGGGACCTTCATCCCGAGTGATACTCACCAGCCGGGTGTATAGCTCTTGAGGTACTTGCTTTTGCGCTCCAACATTCCGGACCGGACCTCCACTGCCGCGGGATGATCCCTACCCGGGTATGTGATATTCTCCACATCGCGAAGAGGAACGCGCGGATCGACCAGTTCATCCGTGTTCGCGATGAAAGAGTTCCACTCGTGATCGTGAGGCATGGAGATCGGCCCCGCGCGGAGTTTCTCGACGGTGTCGTATGTCTCGTCTGCCTCACGCTTGAGTATGCTGGCATATGCGTTATATGCTTTTTGAATCTCGCCTACAACGATGGATTCGAGCTCACGACCAGAATGTTCCAGATTCAAGAAGGCCTAGAAAAGGTTAGTACTCTGCCTCTCACAAATTGGCTAATGAAGCACATACTCGGTGCAGGTAGTTTTCCTCCTCGATTTGCTTCTCAATTTGCCTGTCTACGCCCAGTCGAACAATAAAAGGATCGCCTCTGCCGGAGGTTGCGGAAGGGTCGGTGTCAACCAGACCCAGCGCCTCGTGCAAATGTCGGACCGTCTTGCGGGTGGCGTCGACTTCCTTTTCCACGGAGTTGCGGAAATCACCAGAGAGACCCCGGATTTCCTTGATCTTCTTTTGCAGATCGTTTCGCAGGCCCATGAGCTGGTTCACGACTTCGCTTTCCACCTCCGCGGCTTTGTTCGCTTCCAGGTATCCTTGTCGGTGAAAATCGCGCAAAATCTCGGTCGCATCGGACAGACCTCCAGACTTGAGGAACGTAGGCGGAAGCGATGTGTTTTGCATAATGTTGGATGCTGACAGGAACAATTTCGATCGGGTTTCGTAGGACTTCTGGACCTCTTTGAAGAAGATAATGAGGTCCTTCAGGACCTTGCGCCATGCTACCTTGAATTAGCATACCAGAGACCCAAACCAGTGACAACAAGTTGACATACATTGAAAGCGATTTGCCAGGACCTCAGTCGGGCTTCCATTCGTGGGAATAGGAACATAAAAGGCGCTGTTCGGATCTTCGCCATCGGCGCCATACTTTTCTTTGTCGCCCAAAACCAGACTCCGTACGCTACCCGCGCGCAAGCTGCGCTTGCTACCGCTGCGGCGCATACTGCCCCTCTTGCTGAGGGACGCTTTCTTCTTCAATGTACTGGTCCGCGTCGGGGTCGCGGAACGGGTCTGTGACATTTGGGAAGCAGATCGCTGCATGCCGGATGGTCCGTCCACAACAACCGAGTCACGCTGACTGGCGACATCGAATTCCTCGTGGAAGCGGCCGTTAAACGGGTGGGAGGTTGGTGCCTCAGGGTTGGCGCCGTGCGCAAGGTAACCGGAGGTGCTGGCGACGATCGAATTCGGTCGGGAGCTGGAGCGTGTGCTGTAACCGCGATTCAACAGCA